AGTATCGAAATTTCTGAAAACATATACATATTTGAAAAAATATGTACATTTTTTAAAAAATGTTTTGTTTTGTCCTTGTCACTCAATATAGTTAGCACAGGGAGTGCTAAAATCGATGATGATGCAATTATAAAGGTATTACTCTCCTTTGTTTTCTAATTATTATTAACAGCTGCGTTTGAGAGGATCAATTAGCGGACATTTTAATTATTTGTTATAATTTTTTGGTTCAAAAGAGAAATTTGATATTAATATCAAATCGAAAGATATGTATGTGTCATAATTTCTAAAAACATGTACATATGCTAAAAAATATTTAGATAACATTTTTGAAATTTTTTTTATTTCGTCTTTTTTCCTCTATATAGTGAACACCGATGTCGCTAAAATTGATGAGGATGCAAAAATAATGAGGCAGATTAAAAACTCTGTGTAGCCTAGATATTATGTATACTATTGTCGATTTCTTTAATAGGTCTCAGTTTTCTAATTATTATTAATAGTTGCGTTTGAGGGGGTCATTTGGCGGACATTTTAATTATTTTTTATAATTTTTTGGTTCAAAATAGATCTTTGATATTGATGTCAAGTTAGAGGGTAGGTGTCAAAATTTCAAAGAACTATAGATGCTAAAAAAATTTAAAAAAAAATTTTTTATGAAATTTTTTTTTATTTCGTCTATATCCTCTATGTATGTAATCAGCACAGGCATGGACCCATGGGATCCAAAAGGGCACTTGAATTAGAGGCCCCCTAAAAAGAATGAAATATCTTTGCTTTCTTGGAAATGTTTTTAAGTTTTTATTGTTTTCGCCTAGTAATTTAGCTTACATAATTTATAAGAAATTTTAAACATTATTTAATAAGCTCAATATATTATATTTAACTTTAGAACACTTACTTTTTAGTTGATGTAGGTTATTTTAGAATTTTTGTAATAATGTAAAAAATTTGTATTGTTAGCCTTTAATATGATTATTATCAATAAAATACATAGCAGGAAACTATTTTGTTCAGTTTCCAAAAATACATATTATTGTATTTTTTTTTATCTTTTATCTTTCAAACTACTGACACCCCAAAACTTTCTGAGACATTTTAGCTTCACTAACTCAATATCTAAATTACCTGAAACAAAAATGTTTGCAATAATTTTCTACTGGTGGCTATTCTGTCTCTTTAGATTTGCACTTCAACATTTGCAAACTAATACATGAAAACAGATTTTAAAAAAAAAATAAATAAATAAAAATAAAAACTGGCACAATAAAACTACTGATCTTTTGAATTAGCAAAAATATTAAAATGCATTTGTCATTTATGTAACTATTATTTAATCTATAACCAATTTGAAATCAGCAAACACTCATTTGATTTGCTCACATCATTATTTCGAGATGTTGCCGCAATTTTTACATTATTTTGTTGCAATAATTATTACATTATTTTCTATTTTTGTTTCATTTCTGAAGTTTTAATGAAAATAGCTTAAAAATTGTTTTCAACTGATGCTCAAATTTTTGTTACACATGAGATAATTATTGATAACAAATCAATAAGTCAAGCAAAAATAAAAGAAATCTATGAAAGCAAGAAACTGTCTAGAAATGACAAAAATCCTTGAATTCAAAGAAATCAATTTAATAAAATAACAAATTTTAAAATATAAGTTTAGACAATTACTAAAGTAACTAATACAAAAATAAATTTGGAAGGAATAACTTTAGTTTCACAAGTCAATTCAAAAAATTGCTTTTTTTCTCATATTTTTTTTGATTAAGAATAGAAAAATATATTAATTGCAATCTATGGAAATGTCCGTTTGCAAGAAACTTGTATGAAAGCCATTGATAAAAGGTAAAAGTATCCTGTATATTAATTTTGACATGCGTTTGAGTACATATTGTATTTATCTAATAATTTGCATGCTCAAGAAAAGCATTTTTTGCATGCAGACTTCAGTTCGGAATTTTTTAATGTTTCCCTTCCCTGTTTTTCCTTCTCAATAATTGTTCGGGGGGATATTTTTTTATTCATTGCTCTATTTTTTGAAAACATTAAATAGTTAAATAACTTATAGGGAAATATATGGATTATAATTATTTATGTCTAAGTTTGTTTGAAAAAATTCATTACAAAATATTAAAAAAATAATTGTAAATTTAATCCATTTTTTACTTATTTAATTTAAATGCAATTTTCAATTTAAACTTTACTCTAGATACGTATTCATAATAAACATTTACATTCTTAATCTATATTAAACTAAAATAATATTTTTTTCTAAAAATATAAAATTATGTAAAAATTATATACAGATACAGAGATTATTTTTTAAAAAAATGAATACTAAAATTTACGAAAAACTTATTTTAGATACGTGAAAATGTAGAAATAAAATCTTTCTACTCACTTAAAATTTAAAGAACACAGCTGTACAAAACTTTTCATGACATTTACATAACATTAACAAGTAAAGACGGAAAAAAAGACCCTGTGTGGTCGTTTAAAAGCATCACAGACATATCAACTTATTTCATACAAATTGTCTCCGAAATCACTGTTTCTTTGTTCCTTCCTGAACTGTATTTGCGAGAAAATTCAATATTAGCTGTAAAATAGTGTGTTTTTTCCATTCAAATCCGACCTAATTGCTTCTGAAATTTTATCTGAACAATTAAGTAAATTCCTTGGGGTCTTGAATTCCGAGAAGCATAGTGGACCAGACGAAAACCATCTAGATAGAAGATCCTCCCTTCTAGATAGTTATTACCAGAATCGTGCTATTCATAATGACAAACCACAAATCCCCTATCTTTTTCCTTAAGAAGATTTTTTTTCCAACACAAACAAGTAAGGAAAGATTTGTATAGCAAGTGAAGAAGAAAGAACTTCAAAATAATTTATTTTTTCGTTTCCTTTTCCCAAATTTTCGAAATTGGGTTAAAGATTATAAACTCATTGAATTTTAAGTTTTCTCCTAAAAATATATAGGGGAAGAAAGAGGATCGACAGATCAACGCATGCCAACGAATTACGCAAAATAAGCAGTAAATGATACAATTTTTTCCCCAAGAAATTTAAGCTTATTAATTTTTTTCAAAAAAAAAAAAGAAAAAATAGTGTTGATAAAGCTGTGTATTTGTAATCATGTCAAATTCATTTCTATTTAACATAGGACTGTTCTGTTTAACTAATATAAAACAGAAAGAAAATTATCGCTGTTAAATTAATTAGCATGCTTTTGTTTCATTATTTAATTAATTATTCTGAAGCTGAAGTATCATTTTGCGTAGAATTATTTTTCTTTTTTTTTAAATTCTTTTTAGGAGTCTGTTTTTTTAGAGGCCCCATTTTCTAAACATTATGTGGGTGGGGCTCCTGTTTGTACAAAAGCTTTGTTAACTCAGAATTTAATGCAAGTTACGCAGCAATATAAATAGTAAGTTTTTATTTTGTAATTCCTCCCCACTAAGTTGAGGTATCATTTTGATTAGAAATATTTTTCCATTTTTAAGAGGGGGCTTATTTTTAAGGGGCCCCTGGTCCAATACGTTTTTCTGGAGGAGCCCCAGTTTCTACACAGGTTTTACTCCTTATTGTATGCACAGTATTCTATAATTAAAAGTATATTTCTTTAGTTTCATAATTCATCAACGCGAAGAAAGATGAATTATCCTTTTGCGTAAAAATATTTTTCTTTTCTTTTTTTCCGTCTATAGGGTAGAAGCTGATTTTAAAGTGGCCTGACATTTGGTCTCAAATATTTTACGGGTGGATCCTCGGTTCGTAAAAAAAATTCGAAAACGTTTTGAAAGTATAATAATTTTTCTTAATACTTTTTTGTTTCAAAAGGACTTAAGGGGCAGTTCAAATAGTAAGTACACAAAAATGGATAAATTTTAACCCTCCCTTCGTACATAACCGTACACAAGGTCTTACTCCCCCCCCTTAGAGTACGTACATTTTATTAGTCTACCCCCCTTTTTCATAAAAATTAAAATAATTATGTTTTAAATAAAATTAAATATTTACTTAAGGAGTGTGTAGGATAAAGTCAAATTTAAATTTGGTGTATGTTTATAAAGTACGTACTTAGTATAATACCCCCCCCCCTCCCCATCATACAAAACCGTACAAAATAGCAAATCCCCTCCACCCCTTCGGGATGTACGTACTTTTTGAACGGCCCCTAATTAGGTTTCTAGGGCACACCTGCAAGGAAGGCCCACCATTTTATCTAGATCTAGGGGGCAATCGCATTTTCAGGTCTATGGCCAGTTCGACCCGATACCGAAACACAATTTATGTTGCAATTGTTATATATTTAATACAATATACGCTTCCTCTCTTCAACTATTGAAATTTTATGCTAGTCACTTCTTATTTTTCTAAACTATAATACTAATTTTAAAAATATCTTTTATAGTTGTAATTTTTTCTAAGCAGTATCTCATAAATGATAAGAAATGTAAACATAATATTTAAAATTTTTAATAAATGTTAAGCAACTAAAATTTTATAAAGTAATAAAATAAAAGTACATTCAAATTCTTCATATATCTTGTAATTAATCATTAGCCTGATCAGAAAGTAAACAAATAAATAATTTGGAGCATAAACAAAAAAAAAAAAAAGAGATTACTTTTAATATAACGATCTGACAGTAATGCTACATAAATTAAGGACAGATATTATTTTGGCAATTAATTCAACACTTATATCTAAGCCATAACTTTTAATGACAAGAACATAGTAGATATACTTGTCGATCTCTTTGCAAGAAAATATATATACTTCTTTGTAATTTTATTTCATCGATCCTGCTCAAACTTTTCCACCATTTCCGCTTTCTTCAAAATTCTATCGTCTTAGCTTAGCGGTAGAATTCGTTTGAGTAGGTTGATATAAAGTCCGGCATTAGTGCGGTTTGGCTGGTCTCAACCATAATCCTCGTTAATAAAAGTAGAAAGCTATAAGCGTAAGCAAAGGTCTCGTCGTACTATTCTATAATTTGACGCTATAATCAACATTCGTAGTGATAAAACACCAGCTCGTAGTGATAACAGAACTGAAATAGAAACAATATAAAAGTGTTATAACTAATTAACTTTTTCAAAGTTATACTGAAATTTAAATGGATTCAAAATTAATTATGAGCAACCTTGTCCTAAAATTTGCTGCAAATATTAGTACTATGTTCCACGAAGTTGATGTTTTAAATCGCTTAGATATGTGTCGCCGTTTCGGATTCACTGCGTTTGAGGCTCAAAACCTGTATGATATTGATATTGAAAATTTACTGGCAAAGAAAAATGGGCTTGATATGGTTCTTATTAATTCACCTCCAGGTCAGCAGTTCTTTTCTAATTAATTTCACAGTTGTAAAGCTAAAAATATTTCACTGGTCACCTGGGGAGAGAGGGTGGAAAACTAATCATTCACATCAACAGTTCAAAATAAATGATGTTTTTCGATCAACAATTATCAAATCGTTTGAAATTATCTAAATTTATACTTTCGTTTCCTTATTTCCCTTATTTTAATTTTATTATAAAGGAAATAAGGAAACGAAAGTATAAATAAGTAAAGAGGCTTATTGTAGCATCTTTAATTTTTCTCTCCATTAAAGCAATTCGAAATATTTTTATTTTTGTTTCTTAAAATAAAGTTCTTTCATGTTCAATTCTGCTTCACAAAAATTTGTTAGCTTAAAAATCAAATTGAATTGTTTTTAATGTTAAGAAATGGTGCCCAGAGCTTGTTTACGTTGAAAATTAAAATAGAAAGTAACAGTTAAAATATTTGCACCAATCTCTAAATTGAAAATAAAATAGTAGTAGTTTTCTGGGCTAGCTCAACTCTAGGTACGACCGGGATTATTGAAATCCCCGTCATACCTAGGCAAAAAAAAGAAATTTGTATATTAATGTGGATTTATGTATTTACATATATAATGCAGAGAGAGAAGTAATTCATGTGCCTGATAATAAGTGCATTGATACCTGAGATTGCTGAAATGTTTCTATCATAATGGGCAAGATTAACGGTCGTCATGTGGCAACTAAAGAAATTAAATGGCCACTGAAAAAATTACAACTGATTTTTAATTTGACATTTATACTTGTTTATTGTTTTTTTTTTTATTGAATATTAAGTATTTTTCTGAAGGCATCTTTCATCCAATATATCTCTAATCTGTTAAAAATAATAAAAGTTGTTGGTCAGGTGCAAATTTCCTCACTTGCACTGCCCATTGTAATCTGTAGTCAAAATAATATGGATTACTTCACATTGATAATCAAAAGTGATAATGTAAAGTCATGCATAAATTGGCATGCAGTGGATTTAAGGAAATTACGATCATGTAAATTTCTTTTCAAAGAATATATTAAATTTATCTATCATATTTTTCTCAATTGAAATCTTTATTTTTTGGGGGAAGTGTGAGTTATCCCTTGTGTGGCATATTTTCGAGTTATTTTGCCTATAATGTATTAAAATATATTTCATTCTTTTGTATAAACTCTAATATTTTTTATAAGAAAATACTTTTGGTATTTTTGTACACATTTGATGTGAAATCTGTTTTTGTTTGAACAACTGGGCTCGTTATCAAGCGTTAACTGTTGTAAAGAAAAATCGTAACCAGTCTAAAGCTTAAATTTTACCAGATAGGCTAATTTCTTGAATCATTGCAAGATGGAATCTCTAGAATAGTGAATAGAAAGGTTTAGAATTGTTTATAATAGTTTTAGACAAAGGGGGTTTTAAACAAGTGATTTTACTATTTTATCTAGAACCTTGCCTCATCTTTGTCTAATTCTGTTCTTTTTTACTTTTCTTTAAGACATAAAAAGTAATAATACAAGCAATAACAATTATTTCGGATATGCATGTCTACCTGGAAAAGAGGTAGAATTTCAGGAGTCTCTTTCCAAAGCTATTGAGTTTGCAAAAAGTGTGGGTTGCCGAAAGTAAGTTTCTTATTACAATGTTAAAAAGATGTGATATATATTGTGATGCCACAATTGGCATACACATATTTATTTTCTATCTTTTAAAATATCTTTCATTACTTAAGCTGATTTTTTATTAATAGAATTATATTTAAAATAAATCACAAACTTAATCTTTTTAAAACAAACATAAAATATTTATTTCTTCTCTTCTAGATTAATGTAACGGATACTTTTTTTATTTCATTACTAATGCAGACTTATATATTCACTGTCGCCTTTAATCGAAAACAAAAATCTATTTATAACTTTTTATGCTAAATTTCCAACGGCTAAATGTTTCAGTTGCATGGTTGCAATAATTCTCATAAATTTGTTGGCGACTCGTGATCGCCAAGGTATTCTTTTAAACCCATATTGATATGCTGGTTGGCTTTGTTTTGGCAATGTAATATTTTAATAGATCGCCAATTTTGGATCTCCTACCCATGCTCCTGTGTCCGATTGGAATTACATGTACTTTTTAATTTGGCTTTTGATTAGGCAGGTCGTGGGGATTTGTCTCCCATGGCCTGACCTATTTTAATATTATTATGCAAAATTGATTCAACTGAAATTTGTATGAATGATTTTTATATTTTGTAACTCGAGCTCTGCAAATATACTACTAAATAAAAGCTTTTTATTAATTCTAATCCAGCTCAACTATTATTTTCATCATTCCCTGATTTCTGCATTAATCTTCAGTTTGTCAATATCTCCAATTACTCCTCACCACCTGAATATTCCATCATCACTGAAAATACACCTCAACATATAAATTGACACCCTGAATCATCCTTCACCATATATATCTACTCATTTTATATTTGTGTTTATATTATATGCACCTGTCTAACTGAATGTTTATTAATAAAACTTTCATATCTAATAAATCTACGTTTAAAAATTTATTGTGAAAAAAATATTTAAAGAAACATTTGAAATCTGCAATGCAAATAAAAGTTTTATTGAAGACATATATATCTTTTACAGCATGAAAGATTTTTTTGTAGAAATCCATTTATATACAGTGACAATTCTAATTAGTTAGACCCAAAGTTCGACAACACACATCTAAATGCTTATTTCACGCTTAAAGATCCCATCATTTGATCAAAAATTTATCAAGGTGCTCCGTTTTTTATTTTGCGTACTGTACACCATTTTTTCGTAAAGTCGCTTTATTCATCACTGCAATATTTATGCTCCCGCATTAACAGATTACTTAATTGTTAGGATATATTAATTGGCATATTCTACATTAACTAACTGTATTATTAATTTACTTATTTCAGCTTATGTAATTTTTGTTTTCATCTTCAAATTTGTAATGTTTGAACTATAATCTCAATTCCTTAAATGTTTTTGATTAAAGATTTCTATTTATTTTTCTCCATTTTAGAGTTCATATTTTAGCTGGATTAAAGGATGGATCTGATAAAAATGAATTACGGAAAACATATATTGAAAATTTAAAAAGATCTGCATTATTGTTGGAAAAAGTAAGAGACAGAATTATCTAAATGAAGTTTGTATTAAGATTATTTTCTTTAAGGTTTTTCCAACATCAAGAAAAATATTTGATTTATCAGTAAACTTTTTATTTTAAACTAATTTTAATAACATTGTATTTGCTTACTGTAAAAAATTCTAAATATTTCAGGCTTACTATAACTTCATCATAAGCACATATGATATATGCTTTTATGCCTAACATCTTGATTAACATTTTAATAGGAAATAAATAAGCTCACGTTTTCACTTCATAATTTTTCCAAAATACCACAAAAGCTATTAAACCCTGCCTTTAACTTAATGAAAAATATCCATCAATTTATTTATTTTTATTTTATTTATTTATTTATTTTGTAAATGTTATATAATTTTTTTTGTATATCAAACTTTTTTGTTGCATTTTTATAGTTTATCTACTACCATTTCATAGCTCTTTATTTCTTCAACTTTAATTTAAGGGTAGCCAATAAAAAATAAAATTTAGATGAGCTTATATATTTTTAAAATTATTTATCACATTTTTCTAAAAATTCTTTAGAGATCTGAGAATGAGGAAGTAGTCTATTGCATAGATGCCAAGAAACAATTCATGCAATAGATATTGAATATTAAAGAAAAATGTTTTAACCTTTTAAGAAAAAAAAATTTAAAAATTGCTTGATTACTATCAGGGTCCAATTCAAAACTTTTATCCTAATACTAATTTTGTAAAAAAAATTATATCAAAAATCAGCAATAGGAGTAATATCATCAATTTTAAAGTAATATTATAGCTATCTTTTTTTGGGGAAAAAAGTAATCTCAAGTATATTTGTGTTGTGAAATTAAAAGATGTCATAAAATATTAAACGAAAAGTCGATTTTAAATTTCAAAAAGACAAAGAAGGCCTCTAAAGAACTGCATAAGTTTCCACCGCAAGCAACTATCCTACTGTCTTATAATAACAGGGCTACATCCTTGTTATCATTTTTGTATTCAGCTTGAATGATTCAGTCGTAAACCATATACGTTCTCAAAAGGTTTATTCAAAGGTAGGCTGGTGGTTATAACAGTTCACATCCCCACTCCACAAGAGTGGGGGTGTGGATAAAACTCCGGATGGTTCCGGCAGATCTTTTATGGAACACATTATTCAGCAAGAGACATGCGAAAACAATCGTTCCTGTATTAAATACTAACACAGAATAATGTAAACATGCTCAAGTCGTACATACCTTGTAACTCTACACGTTATGGAAAGTCATTTAATGCTTCCTAATATGGAAGTGAAAGAGTGACAAGATTCTAAAAATAACTCCTCCTTTGAAATATAAATCTAATTATAATTCAATGGTATGTTTTCATCCTTGAAGTCCCAAAATAGAATTTCTACACCTATTCTTTACCAAAGACATTGAATGAAAATGAAAGAGTTTTAATGTTGTTATTAATACAAAAGTATTTGTAATTTTTGTATTATATATATAAAAATAGATTTAGAAACAGGATGTGGTTTCTTAAAAGTATCATAAAGTGCTTCGATTCGAAGAATTAAGTAGTAATAAATTAGGAGTTGTCTTATAACGAAGAAACTAACATAAAAAGATTAATTGAAGCTTTTTATGTTACATNTATATATATATATAAATTAGAGATAACACTTGACTTTGATTTTTCTTTGCTTCACAAACTTACTTAAAATTGATTTTCACAAGAATTATCTATTAAAAAATCTGATAAGTTGATGTAAATCTTTCCAGTAGTACTAGAGAAAATGGACCAAATTTAAACACTTACTTAATTTTGAATACAATGTAGTTTAAACTAACTTTTCACTCATGAAGTTAATCTAGATTTTGGTTTTTTTTTCAAACACCAAAGCTGTGTTGCTCAATCATGAACAGTTAATACTTTTAACACAATAGTTTTATGTGAAAATCTGCATAAAATATAAATTCTGCTCTGTTTGTTCTGTGATTAATATTTATGTAACATTATTATTATTTTTTTTAAATTCTTTTTTTTCTCTTTTGCTTTTTTAAAAATTTCATATGTAAGGGTTTTCCCTTCATTTTCTATTTTATATATTATAGGAAAATCTTATTGGTGTGATTGAACCACTGTGTCCTGAGATTAAACCTAATTATTTTTTAGATAGTTTTGATGATGGTAAGTTATGCTTTTCATTAATGTTGTTGCTATTATTATTGACTTTGACTAAGCTTTATTCTTATTATTTTAGCTATTGAGTATATAAAGGAAGTTGGAAGTGATCATTTAAAACTATTATTGGTAATATGCATTTTTGACTTAATGTCATAACAATTGTAGATTTCAGTGAAAGAACTTGAGCAACATTTGAAAACATTAAATTTTTTTTAAGTTTTAGTACATAATAGAATGTTGTTTTACTGTTCCAAAGTTTTAAATGAGGCAATTTTCATCCTAGGCATAGTGGGTGCCTTCAATAGTTTTCCAAGTTTTTAAATACATTTTTCTACCATTTCTGACTTAGCCACGCAATCCCTAAAATATTCTCTGATTCTAGAAAATTTAACATTCCACCAAACCAACAAAAATCTCTTATAAGTCTAAATAATCAGAGAATGATCCAATCCGCCATCCATCTTCAAAGTTTCGTATGAGTACATTGATGATTTTTATTCATTCTCTTTAAAAGTTATTATAATCATTATACCTTTTTCTGAATTTAAAATCTATTTTGTCTGTTACAAGTACAGCGCGAAAAAAGTAGGACTCCCTAAAAACATTTGATCTAGTGAATAGATATTCATGTACTAGCACTCAGTCTTAATGGTTTAATGGGAAGACTTCATATATGCTAATTATTTAATGCAGATTTTTTTTTAAATCTCAAAATCAGACACAAAAATTTATTTTCTCTGAATAAACTAATTTTTTTTTTGTCAGATATGGATTAGAGGGTAACTTCAGATATAAACTTCGAGAAATATGGTCCCAATAGCTTGGTCAGGAGAGTGATCCAAAATTTGGACCCCTTAATATTAATTTTACTTTTTACGTATTTCACCATATCTTGAGAATTTTTTTAAGCTAATCGAAACATTTGTGCACACAATTATAAAGTTTGTTTATCCAAACATAATTCAATGCAAGAAAATCATTTTTAATAATTATTTAGTTTTTTTGTTTCATTTAATAATAGTCAAACTTTTTATTTGTAAGGTATATAAATCTTTGCATAATTTTAAAGACTGTAATTAAGATTAAAAGAAACAAAATTTGAACAAAACTGATACGATAGTTCTTGATGAGTCTTATATTTATAATTCAATATCTTAGGAACTATTTAACCCATTTTATTCCAATGTTGTATTTTATTTTATAAAATTACATTTTTTGAAATGATGTGAAAATTTGAATACATTATAATTCAAAAATGTTTGGATTATTATTAAATAATATAATAAAAAGTAATAATTAAATTTTTTTTCCATAGATTTATCTTCGGACTAACGAATTTTATAATTGTGTAAAAAAAATTTTTTTATTCACTTAAAAATTTTTTGAAATATGTCAAAATTGGCAAAAAGTTAAATTTACATTATGTAGTATAAACTTTGGATTGCTCTCCTGTGACCATAACTATTGGGAACATATTTTCCAGATCGCATCAACCCCCTATATTTCAAAGGTATAATCCAAATTTATTGAAAATAGGTATGTTTATTCAGAGAAAGTATGTTTTTGTGTCTGATTTTGTAACCTAAAATATCTTCTGCACTTATTAACCCATTGGCTTATGCAGCGAGCTGCTGTTTACAAACCACTAGAAATGTAATACTATTTTCTTCTAAGCATTCACCAATTTTTAGCAACTACTATTCTTTAAGTAACAAAGGTAAATTATGCCTCTTCAATAAGAATACACTGAATGAGATCCCAGTTGCTATTGTGTTGTGAATGGAGGGAAATTGTTAGCAAGTTAATGGATTAATTAGCATATTTGAGGTCATACCTTTAAAGCATTATCAAATTCAGCATAGCATAGCAAATTCAGTTTTAGTACATGAAGATTCGACCATAACATTAAAAGTTATTCAGGCTATTTTGTTCGATTTTTTTTGCACTGTTCACAAATACTATGTGTTTTATTGCTTATTGTAAATTAATGCTATTTCTGACTATCATTTTCAATGAAAGTTAAAATCTCAGATGCTAAGTGTGAAGCATCATTTCAAAGTTGAGGCAAGTAGAATTGATTAGAGTAAAAATTATAACCCAAAGTAACAAAAATACACAGACAATATCACAATGATATCAAACAGATGTTGCAGTATTTGAGTGATATCATTAAAATATTGTACGGGTATTTTTGTTACATGGGTACAATAAAAGTTCTGTGATGCAATTTTGAAAAATTAGTTTTAAGAGATTAAAATTAGATTTTGATTGCCATTCTTTGAAAAAAGAAGAAGGGGAAAACAAACGATGCAAAGTGACGATGAAACATCATTTCGAAGAGTTGGTCGTGAGCAAAATCTATTTTTAAAAAATCTAATTTTGTGAAATAAATTTTTTAAGTGTCAATTGTTTCTCATCAATTTTGGTCATTCTTTCTTGTTCTAATATTTATTTTATCTCTAAAAATATTTATCAACTAAAAGTTTAACTCTTCTAATAAAAAATAAGGGATATAATTGAAAATATCACAATATATATGATTCCTGATCTCATATTAATTTTCTGTTATTTCACATTAGCTCCAAATACTGTTTTATATTAACCTTTGATTTCGATGGGGTATATTAGACGTATTTTAAGGCTTTATGACTTAAAATGCAATCCAACTCTTATTAGACTCCTCACCTTCCTGTGAAGAATTAAAAATAAGTGAAAAATCTTAACGGTGGAAAAATTCGTTACTTGGTAAAATATTAATGCCTTTAGTATGAAATAGTTTTTGATTATGAAAAACTTTATATTATGTTTTTCTCAAGATCATTTTGAAAAATTATTTTTAGGTAATACAAGAATTATGCTTGTACAAATAAAAATTAACAATACAACTCAAATGATATAATATGTGGCTTCAAAAATAACTAAACCATTGTTAATTATAACAAATTATCCTTAAAAAAAAACCAATGGCTTCATTAAAAAATGGCTTCCATATATTAAACATTTAAAACTGTTAATTTTAAAGCTGATTTTTATCTAGCTCAGTAAATTGGTACTAATCATGTTCTTTCACTAATCTCTTCAATTGAAAATTTCTGTTTCAAATTTGATGTCTCTTATTGTTATCTTAATATCAAATTAAAATTGCAAGAACACAGAATTGAATGATTTAATATACACTACATAGCTAGACTAATTATTGAGAGTATTAAAATTAAATTCAGCTCATTTTTTTAAAAAATATATGTATTTGACAGGAAGAATTAATTCGTCATAATATAAAAATATTGTAGATAGTTCTATTAGTTTTAAAAAAATCGCATCTTTTCTAGTTAATTGATGAAAATGAAGATCAAACTGATGAACCTCCTTAATTTAAAAATTTTTACCATCAGATGTAGTTTTGCTTCAATTACTTTTGATATTTATGATTTTGTTGTAATTAATTATTATATGGTTTCTGGAGAAAATTATTTATTTATTTTAGGATGTATTCCATTTGGAAATGTTGCATAAAGACACACTTAATCTAATGAGTAAATTTTATCCTTATGCTGGTATGTATCAATTTTATTCTATGGCTTCAAACTTTTAATTGATTCTTTTATTAAATTTCAATTTTTTTCTTGATATTTTTGCTTGTATTTTTCAATTATATGTACTGGCTCTGTTTCTGGTTATTTAAATCTAAGGGTAAAATAATGAACTTCATTCTTAAAAGATACTTTTACTAAAATCAAATATTTATGAATCATATAGACCTGTTCTTTGTTTGAGACTTTAAACAGAAGCATTGACCTTGTTATAAAAACATAAACAATTTTTCCAGAAAAAAGAATATATCTTTCTTAGGCTGTACTTTCTCAGTTAACTCTAAAAATATTTTTTTATTCGCGCACAAAGAAGAAATTAAACAAAATATATCTCATTCATATATGCATATTCCAAGTGTTAAAAATCACTTGGGTCTTGCCTTTCTTTTCGGAATTTTTTCTACTTGTTTTGTTCTTTATGCTCTATTAAAAGTTAACAAATTAACCAGGATCATGTTGTATTTAAACATCAATCATCATTTCAGTTAGAAATGAGAATTCTGGGCACTTGAGAGTTATGGAAAAAAATAGTTGAGTTTCTTGCTAAGAAATAGTTTCCATGGGGTTTGTGGTACCGAAAAAGAAATTCCCACTTGGTGTGACGTCATTCCCATATGGAGTTTCATTCTAAGAAGCTCATGATAAGTTACATAGAAAAAGATAAATAGGGTGAACTAATTTAGAACTTTATATATTAATTCAATAATTGGAGTGAAGTTTCACTTTTGATAGATAATCTAATAATTCATTTTTTTTAACACGTTTTCAAATTAGTACGAATTCTAAATGCATGTTTTGCACCTTTTCTTAATGAATGTAACTTCTGTGCTACTCATGCGTACATTTAAATATTAGACTACTATGCTAAAAGAAATGCAGAATTCTGTGTTGAATTGATAGAGGGATGCAAACTTTCAATGCATTTTGAGAAAATTTCTTTAAATGGTAGTTTAGTTTATATTTTAATGTATTTTTTATATGTTTTTTTTTACATTTAGTTATTTTTTTAAAATGTGATTTTGACTTTTTTTCCACACTGCTACATGCAAATGATTCAAAAGTTTACATGAAATGTCACTTTCTTCCAGCTCTCTCATATCGATGCATATATAATGTTGGCAAAATTACCTGAAATTCTGATAGATTTATATTTTAACTGTCTATCACTCTAAAAACTATTTTGCAAAACGGTAGTGTAGTTCGCAGTCCTGCATTACTGTATGAAATATATGAGGCTTCTTTCATAGAGAAACACATTTCATTTGATATAATGTTTAAATGCGTAACATGAAAAAATTATTTTTATTTCAAATAAACTATATAACCAAAATAATGAATTTTTTTATTAACATAGATTTTAAAAAAAGTTTTCAAATTTTTATAATTAATTTTTGCTAGAGATGTACCTGGCTCTGTAATTTTTCCAGGTCTCGGTACCCGGTGTAAACTGAATCTTTTACCTAGATGGTTCTGGGTATCCAGTAAAAATTTTATTTATCTGGTAAAATTTGGATTTAATACCCCGTCAGGTCTAATAACATTTATTCAAATAATATAATCAGATTATTTCTATCAAATAGTATAATCTTCTATTGAACAAGTATTTTACAGGATATAGTCTAAGAAAATTTAAAGTATGCCTATATAAATAAAAGCATGTTTTTTGTTTTTAGATTTTTTGAACTCAATTTTAAAAAAAAAGTTTCTAAAAGGAATTATGGATGATTGTTGGGATGTAAAATGATTAGCGTAAAATTTTTCTACACAGATGGAACATTTGCTAATAAAGAGCTTGATATCTCATAAACACAAATTGTTGACCTTCAGATGAAAAATCTTAAGGAAAATGTTTGGTGCAGTCTATGAGAATAACAATTTCAGATCCGTGTTTAACTTTGAAATTTACGAAAAGTACCAGCAGCCTGATATTTCTAAATTCATAAAATACAATAGACTATGATGGCTCGGACATCTATTCCAATCTAATGAGACAAACTCAGTAAATAAAGCCCTCTTTTACTAATTCCGTATAAGCGGAAAATGAGGAAGACCACCTATTATGTGGCTTGATTCTGTGGAGAAGGATTTTAATGTAATAAATAAGGGAAACTGGAAGAACCTTACTACGAAAAGAACCAGGGGTAAAAAACTACTTGAGATAACATTGGCTGTAGTGCCTTGAAAGAAAGGAGGAATTTATAATTCATTTATTTTTCAATTGTTTTACTTAAGTTTTCAGTAACATTTGTTAATGCATCTTCAAATAAACTTAGGATATTTTAATAAAATTTCGGTATATCAAATAAAATATGTTTTAACTATGAGGGTTTAATTTGTAATCACTTGATAACTATGAATCTAATTTATGTGCAATGGAATTTACTTCAGTAAACCATCTCTTAAAGTATTGAATACTTGGTGAGAAAATTTATCTTATTTCCATTGTTGAACAGAAGATTCTCAAAGTGGTTTTGCTGTCCTTAAAGTTACAACTTTTTCTCAGTATCCTAGCGCTTTTAAATGCCCAAAAAGTAAAGTCACTTCATGATCAAAACAAGCCTGGGACAAGTTAGCTATCATGAAAATTTTCTCCTGTGTGTGTAGTTGCATTATACAGAAAAAAAAATCATAAAATCCATTCATAGTATGCCTGTTGGTACGAAAACTATATCTCAACTGGTTGTAAATTTAATTAATTGAACTAATGAATCAGAAACATGCTGTCTTGTGAAAAATTAAGCTTAACATTATCGATGACCAAATTTATTAATACATACTTTTTTTCAATATAAACTAATTCAAATGAACTTATACTAAAAATGTTAGCAAGAGTTTTTTGTTAAGCTATGTTAAAATAAATAAGTTTTTGGTTTTTACATAAAAACTATGTTAAAAAAACTATTATTACTGTTAAAAATTTGCTCCTTTGACTCCATTTTAACACTTGCTTTTATTTGCAAATGACGCCTGGTGGGTGAGCGGTAGCACTGTCGTGCCACAGATCCCTGGTTCGATCCTCGGGCTGGGCAAGTTTGACTCAGCCTTTCATCCCTTCAGTGGGTCGATAAATGAGTGCAAGCATGCTTGGGAACTAAACACTGGGGGTTCCGCATTCTACTGACCACCTGACCGGAACATCTGCTCCTGCACCCCAGAGCCCAAGGTTAAGAAAACTGAGATGGGCACAGTAGGCCTTGGCCCTCTACGTGCTGTCGCGCCACTGAGTTTAGTTTAGTTTATTTGCTAATAAATTAATCTTTCATGATGGCTAAACTAGAATATTAGTGTGTCAATTAGAATAAATACAATTAGATTAATTAATGTGTCATTTGTAAAAAAATATTTTTGCTTCGTTTGCAACTATTGTTTGGTGTAAAATTAGCTACTTCTAAGCAATTCAAACAAACAAACCTAAATAATAGCATATTATTGCATTTAATTATTTGTAGAAAGCAAATTTATTTTTAGAATACAACAGTAATCTTTGGGTAAGACAGTTATCATATTTTTCTACAGTTACCTTTAAATTTTATTCATTAAGAATTTATTAACTTAAAATAAATATCAATTGAATTCCCTATTTGTAATTTTGTATTAATTTAACTATGATATTAATTTAGCAAAAATAGTTTTCTGAAATTTCATATCCTTTTCCTAAGCGGACACCTATGGTTCACTAACATATTTCACTGTCTCAAAGGTGTCCACTTTATTAAGGTCTCCCTGAATAGAAATTCTGCACAAGAATAAAATTATATTCCCCTTAAAATGGTTATTTTAGCTTGATTACTATGAACATGGAATTCTAAAGCTACAATTATTTTTAGAAATACTATTAAGGTTACTATAAATCTAAATGTGGTTGTGTCGAACTTAAATGAGTGTTGCCTGCCGATACCTGGTATTAACCTGGACTCAGCAAATTAAAATTATTTTGCTGAGTCTCAGTAATATCAGATTATACAACCCTCATTTTTAATATGTTTTAAGGTCTGCATGTATTAAGGAGTTTTTTTTTGTAAGCCCAATAGGGAGCTACCTGAAGTACTAGACTTGAATACATTTTTTTTGTAGAAAGTGCTTGATAGGTATTGATAATATATTTTAGGTCATGTGCAGGTTTCTCAAGCTCCTGACAGAGATGAACCATCAGCTAAGGGTAGAATTGATTATCAAAAGGTATTTGAGCTTCTAAATGGATATTCTGATTTTATTGGTTTGGAATACACTCCTAAAAGTAAGTTTCTTTCACTTGTAACTCCATCAATGATTACTAATATTATTTTCAATCAAGCAATTTTTTTTCTTTTAAAAAAAACTAATACTGCATGACACAGTAATAAATCAGCATGCTGACTGAAAATTTGTCACATACTTTCTCATACACAAAACTTGAGTTAATAGAAAAAATGCATATTGCTTTTTTGTTTGTTCAAATTCATATATATATATATATATAATATAATATTTTAAACTTAATCATATGGATATTTTAAATTGTGATAATTAAAAATAAAAATTATAAATGAATAATTTAATATTCTTTTTCTTAAATATATTAAGGATTTAAATTTAAGATTAGATTATGAAAATATTTTTATTTGTAAATTAAAAACTTTAAACCCCTATGGGCTTAATAGTAAATCAAATAGAGAAGGTAACCTAGATTTTAATAGTGTATGCATTTATAATAAATTTATACTTTTTAATAATAATTTTTCATGTAAACTGAGAGGATGCAGGGATAAACGTAAAGGTAAAACTAAATTTAATTTGATACTTTTCAAAACTTGCTATTTATTTGATGACACTGAATTTAACATTAAAAAGATTAGGAGTTTCATTTTTGGTATTAAAAATTCAGTGTTAAAATGGATGATTAAAGAACAATTAAAAATTGTAAAGTTTTCTACCCCTGAATTTAAATATATTGTTTTAGATCTTATTAAGTTTAAACTTGCAATCAAAAATTTTGATTTATTGTATATTTCAAAAATTAAAAAATAATTTTGTGTTATTAATTTTCTTGATAAAGATTTTTAAAGGGGTTTACTACCTATGACTGTTAACAAACTTTCTGAATATTTCCCGATTGAAGAGAAGATGGGGGTTTCAGTTTGTTTTAGATATTGTAAGACTTTAAAGAAAAGAATTTCTAATTATAATTTCTATTGTAAAAATTTAAAAGATTTAGAGGATATTTGTTTGAGTGAGCAAGAGCATTTTGAAGATTTTGTTAATGATTTTAATCATATTGTCACTGGTGACCTTAACCTAGTTAATAATAAAAATTTAAGATTTCTCATGGGACTAAGTTTAGACTGAGAAAAAATATCACTTAAATTTTATTCTTGCTTCAACCAGTAAGGAGATTGTATTATTGCAAAATGCTCAAGAAAATTTAATTGGCCTGTAGAGGGATTTAGTGAATTTAAATTTTATGTATTGTATAATTTCAAATTGAATTTTTTGAGCAATAATATCAAATATAAGGGTTTTTATTTGAATTCTGATATTATTCAATATATTAAGGAATTTAGATATAATTTTGTTATTTGTGTTGTTGATAAAGCCTCTAATGATTTTTTGCTTTATTTGCAAAACTTTTTTTAAACATTTAATGAGTAAAGATTAAAACAATAATACTTTTGTCAAAATTAATAATTCTAAAAAAGAAATTGATAATAATATTTCAGCTTTTTCCAAGAAAATAGGATTAAAAATCAATAGTTTTAATTACCCTCATTTATTTCCTACAATTAAGTTCCACAAAACACCAGTTAAATTTAAATTTGTAACTTGCAGTACTGGCTGTTATAATTCTGTTTTTGGTAAAAGATTTTTCAATTAATTAAACACTATTTTAAATGATAAGCATTTTATAATTAATAACAACCAAGACGTCATTAAATATTTAAATTACAATAATATTAATAATATTCGTACATGTGATTTTGAAAATCTTTTCACGAGTATGCCCCCACAATAATTTAAAGAATATTTGTTTAGAAATTTTGATAATTATTTGATTAATGAAGACATTAATAAAGAGGATTGGATAAATTTATGTAATGTAAGCATTTTCGAAAATTATCTTTTTAATGGTATTTGTTTTCACTGACAAATCAAAGGTATTTCAATGGGTAATTGTTATTTAAGTGCTTTTGCTAATATTTTCTTACAGTATTGTGAATATAAATTTTTACAACATATTTTATTAATTGGGTTTAGATTTATTGATGATTTAATTATTTTTGATTGTAATGATTTTGATTTAGTTAATGATATTTATCCTAAGGAACTAAATTTAATCAAAACTAATTCAGAGGATAATTGTGCATACTTTTTTAGATTTTATTATTACTTCTTATCAATATTAAGATCATATCGATCAATATTGAGATCATATTAAACTTCTTAACAATAAAATTCTCATTGGATTGTATGATAAAAGAAAGGATTTTAAATTTAATGTAATTAGTATAACACATTTTAATTCCAACCTTTATTTTAAGATTTTTAAGAATATTGTGATTAGTCAAATTCTTCGATTTAAATTTATTTTTAATAATAAGACAGATTTTCTTTCAGCTGTAGGATTACCTTAGAGAATAATAATTTTCCTTTTAATTACTATAATTATGATATTTAAATTTAAAATATTTTTAAAATGTTCAAATAGTTCGGCTGATATTGAAGCCCACATAAATAGGCCTAGCGGTGAAATTTAGGATTTGTTTTCCATAACAGGTGACACCTTTTTTTAAAAAAATTTTTGCTCATTGAATATCTATTTGTTTCAGTTTTCAAGATTTTTAAATAAGGGTCAGCACTTGATTTACTTATAATATTTTCTTATTAATTTGGCAATTTATATTTTATTTTGATTTGGTTATTCTAACTGTTACTGTAACTATTTTTTATTTATAAGTGGGAGTATCAATTTTAAGTCTTACTATGTGTACTTTTAAGTTGTGTTTGCTGCTTCATTATTTTTCTGTGCTTTTCAATTCTTATAGTGATTTTCTCTTATTTGTCTATCCATTATGGGGCCTCGAGGCACTGTTAGTTTTGGTTTTTCCACTGACAGCAGAAAGGTTTCTGTGTGTTGGCAGGCAGTGTGTCTCCCAATGAAGTGCTGTCTTGCCAACACACATATCTTTTAATTTTAGCTTTTTTTAATAACTTTTGGTATTTAGGCCGTTAAATAATCCATATTGAATTTTAGATATGAAATTTATGTGTTTTAAGTAAATTTCTTGTATATTAGTTTGTCAAAGATTTTAAATGAAGTCTGTAAAACTTAAATTAGTCTGTAATTATAGAAGTCATTTATGTCACTCTTTTTTTGTTAAAATATCAGGAAATATGCCATCCATCAGTAAGTTATTAAATGAACAAAGTAGAGTATCCAAGTGATTTTTCACTAGAATTTTTACTGTTTTTTATCTATTTAATTAAATTCACTACTATTTTTTACAACTTCACTAAATTCAATTTCAAAGCAGAAAAGAATTTTTTTTTTATTATGTGTTAAGTACTTTATGTGATTCATATTAACTAGAGAAAATGTGGTGGTAAAATGGGTATTGACATATTTGCTAGTTGATTACTATCAATTTTTGGAAGAAGGGAAGTTTTGCTACTTTTATTAGTGATTTGATTGATTTTTTTCCCTATTGCTGTTTATATTTTCTTTAAAAGGATTTCGATAATGATCATTCTCAGCTTATCTGATTTCACATTTAAGTATCCACGTAATACAGTATAAATTATGATAGGGATATCAAATATACGTTCTAAGGAGCATTTGATTGTATTTAATCATACTTAAAATTCTCTTTATACAGTTATCATTATACTCTTTTAAATTGATACTAAAGTTGTTTTTCATAGCATGAAAAGTTTCAAACTCTAAAGTACATAAAACGTTTTTAAGTTTATTGTAATTTACTAATCTGAAGCTATGAAAAATTTGTTTATCCAGTCTTGATATATTGTGATATAATATTAATTTGCACATCATGGGGTAGTAATCTACGATGTTATGATTAATCTAGCAATAATGACAGTTTCAAGAGTAGATGTTGCAAAAGAAAACATGATCAATGGAAGAATTGATTCGAGTTGTATCATTAATCTAAGGAGAAAAAAAATCTCATTTAAAGTTCTATTTTTACATTTTGTTTTAAACAAAAAAAATTGTTTGATCATTGTTAAAGTAGTCAATTGTAATAAAATGAGATCTATATACAGGGTTGGGATATTTTAACCAGTACTTACCATTGCTTTTACTTCATTTTTAGGAACCTGTTTTTCCCATGTTTTTTTACTATTTCAGAAAATTTTTTTGTTTCCACCATTTCTTCGAATGTCATTAGAAAAGCGTAAATTTAAGGAAGAATTGTTAATAGGAACTTGGAGCACTGTTATAAAATTCTTTGGATTAATCCGCACAGTGCACACTTTGAATAACTTTTGATCTAGCAGTTGGATTTTCAGGCATAAGGACTCAATCTTAATGATTTTGAGGGTTTAATCTTAAATATGTTAATTAATCAGTGAAGATATTTTAAGTTACGAAGTCAGATACAAAAACATATTTTCTCTGCATAGGCATACCTTTTTTTTGGACAGTTTATGGATGTTTAAACCTTCAATTATGCAAATTAATATAAATGTATACAAATCTACAAAAATAGGTATTATTTAGCAAGAAGATGACAAGAACTAATTTTTTACTATAATATTATAATATAATAAAGGAAGAGACACTTTTAGTTTTTAAAATTTTGCATGAACCATTTAGAGGATTATATTATAACTAAAGACTTGTTTAGATCATGTGATTTCCCTTATACTTATCAATTAATTTCAGAGGTTTGAGGAATTATGAGTGAAAACAAGTGTTTTTGAACAACCTGTGCCATAAATTATTGCAATAAGTTTCTAACTTGCATCGATTACTTTGCTATTTGCAATTATTACTTGAAATTTTTTGATTTAGCTTTAATATTCTTAGAGATATGGACATTTTTATAAAAAATTAATCTTGTTTGATGTTTTTTTGCTATACCTTTAAAAAATTATCTATAAATTTAAACAAATTTTTTGGAGAAATTTTTTATTAATTACAAAATTATTATTTTTGAATTTTAAAAAAATTATGCAAGATATGAGCATTTAAATTAGTTCTACTTTAGTGCACATGAGTGAAAAAAATTTTATGATTTTCTAATGAATCATATTTGGTAAATAATAAAAAAAAGTTTGATTTGAATATCTTGATAATTTAAAAAGTTTTTACCAATACTTAAATTAGTTTTTTTAAAACTTTTTAAAAGAAAGCTCTAAATGATAAGGGTTTTTTCACAAATTTTATTTTGTACTGTTAAACAAGAAAATTAAAGAAAGGTATTGTTTGTTTTTAAATTTTGACTTGTGATACAAAATGATATGAATGATATCATGTTATAAAAGCCCTTTTAGAGTTTTCTTATAAAAACTACTTAGAAAATTGTTAAAAACATTTTAAATTTATAAGATATTGAAATTGAACTTTTTTTCATTAGTTACCAAACATGATTTGTTACAAAGTTATTAAATTTACTTGAAAACATTTTTCTATGCATGCCCACTATGAGAAAACTAATTTAAATTCTTATTTCTAGCATTTTTTTAAATTTGAAAATAATAATTTGGTTACTAGTTAAAAATAGTTCAAAAATTTTTAGAAGTTATATAAAAAAAAACAAAAAAAACATGAAATAAAGAGATTATGTTTTTATCTAAATGTCATCCTCCATAAATATTTAAGCTGAGTTAATGGAATTTCATGTGATCATTGCAAATAGCAACTGAAGTAATCGATGCAAGTTACAAGCTTACTGTAATATTTTATGGCATAAGGTGCTCAAAAATACTTGTTTCCGTTCATAATTTATTGCCAGTCTCTGAAACCTCTGAATGCTTTAAAATTTATTGATAAGTATGAAAAATGGCATGATTTAAACACTTCTAAAATTATCCCCTAAGTTATTAAAATAAATGTCAAAAACTGAAAGTCTCTTTTTCATTATTATAAGGTCTTGGGGAGTAATAAAGCCAATGACACTACTTGTCCACAGTCAATGCTTTTTGAGATAATCACAAATAAAAAAAGCGCAATTGCCTCATAGAATTAATCTTCCATCCAGGTTCTGCCATAAGTGAAAGAGTGGAAATTCACTTCCACAATGTATTTTATAATTGTTAATAATTATTAATTGACTGCAAATCAAAATAAGATGAAACCATTAACTGTGGTAGTGACTTACAATTTAAAATAGTTGAAGCACAAGCATTTCCAACATCAGGCACACATAATGAATGAGTGTTTCATATGCAGTGCAAGTTTCATTGCTGAACTTAAAGCATATGTTTCATTGAACAAAAAATAGGGTCTGTCTTCTTATCAGGGACTTCTGAAACTTAAACCGGTGCATTTTGTCAAAGACAGAAATTTTTTTAATTAAAAACCAGGTTAGGCATTTCAAGTATACCCTTTTTAGTTCTGACACCTGTTCACTCATGCTGCTGTATTGTTGAATATTCAATTTTTTCTTTGATCAAGTACTTGTAGCCTTGAAAGAAGTAGATGTTCAATGGCTGAAAGTATTTTGTCATACCTGATGAACAGGTTGTATATTTAATCCAATTTATCAAAATCCATAAAGTTTCAACTGTTTGACCACTCTACCCACCCAGCACAAAGATAGCCTTATTATCACTGATGCACTCTTTTAATTCCTGCAAGTATTTTCTTGTTATAGGTTTTGAACTTTTCCCTGACTTGGAACATGTAATTTGGATGTTTTGGTAGAAAATATCCTGTAAATTTGTGGTAACTTTAGGACCAAATGATCTTTTAGATTCTTGTAACTCAATTAGTAAATAAACTACAAGCTTGCCATCTGCGCTAATTGTCTCTTGTGTGGTATAAGAGTGTGTTTTTTTTACTATTAATGGATGTTGCAACTTTTTTAGACCCTTTCATATCTAGTGTTCTTTTTGATACAATCTCATACTAAAAACCAATTTAATCTGTATTAAGGATGCAGGAAAAGCTGTATTTATTCTGTTCAATCATTAATTTAAAGATTTCTTGAATTACTCATATTACAGATACAAGAGATATCTCAGGAAATAAATTCCTCTGTGTTACTAAATATGTCACCTTGTGACCTGTAATTCTTTGGTCAGTTTCGCAATTTATTATAAATTGTGTACTTGCTTGGAAATCTCAAAGACAGATCTTGAATGCTTTATCCAGAAGCCATTTTTTCACTTCTCTGTCATGCATAGTGAATTTTAATTGCATGCAATAGAAAAGAAATTATGATATATTTTTTCTTATTTTTTTTCTTGTAAAATTTTCTCCTTTTTCTAAATATTCTTTCCATTGTTTATGGTTAGAGCCTTTTTACAATGGTGTTGCGCTGCCCGCAATTTATTTTTTGTTACTAAATCATATGCATTTACTGACATACTGCTTGTCTATTGTATTGATCTTTAGCTTGTGTTTCACTTGGAGGTTCTTTGTCCTCAAAGTTTAGACTTTCCTCTACTGTGTTACTGTTTTACTCGTCAGTAATATAACTTTCATCAATAGATCCAACCTGTCATTTTCAATTATGTCCCACACTATCATGAACAAATCTTAACTAATGGCTTCCTAAAATGCTGGATCCCTCATCTCAGTTTCCTCAAAATATACAGCTGAATCTCTGGCAATCCGTGAATTTGTTGATGATCACATTAAGGCTTGAAAACTCATCTGCAATATCCTCAGACTTGAGCTGTCTTCACATGCACAAGAGTGTGTGCCACCTCCCTTGAACCAGCACGCTTGGAACGTGAGCTAGACAACTGCTAAGCATTACTACTGATTGATTTCATCATTATTTAGTGCCTAAGGAACTTCCCACACAGACCCTGTCTATGCAGCTCTTCTGTCCCTTAAGATCAGGCAAGGAGTTGGGTCCTATCAATAAAGATGTTTATACACATTGCAAATGCTTCTGTAAAAAATGATTCTTCTCTTTTTTTTTCATTCTTAAGTCTACTTAAAAATTTATCTTCGTAAACCAAACAAGGGAGAATCCCAGAGTGTAAAATAGCAGTACATTTTTTATCACAAAGAAATGAAAGGAACAGCTATCTTGGTATAAATGGGACTTGTAGATTGTCTTAATAAATCAAACAGCAATGAAAGAACCTCTTGCTTGAACCTTTTTTATGCTGGTGGTCCTCTAGTGACAGAAAAAGCACAGTATTAAAAAAAACTATGTGAGCTTTCATTGTACCGGAGAACCTGGATTGAAGATGAATACTTGCAATAGCATTTGCCCTTTTTCATTTGTGATTATCTTGAAAACCATTCACTGCAGATAGGTAGTTTCATTAGCATTATTGCTCCCCAGGACAAGACTTTTCCTACAGTATCACTTTTATCAAAACTTGGGGAACATCCCTAGTTAGAGTTTGAATACTCATATTTAACTATCAAATTAGTATGCTATTATGTTATTTGTAGTCTCGATTTGTTAATTTAATTGAATTTATAAAATTAAGTTCTATTATATTTCTGTACATAAATCATTGAAAAATTTTTTTATTTTTTACTTTTTCAGAAATTAATTTTTCTTTCCAATTGTTTTTAATTTTTCATATTGATAACTATGTGTTAAATGTTTTGTATAATACTATTATTTAAACTGGATAATTAACAAATTGTTTTAAAATTTGATACTTTTTATATAAAAAGACTTCCATTTTTTTCCATTTGGGTTGTAAGAAACCTATTTCTGCCTCCTACTCTGGAAGAAACTTGCCATTCCTGATACCAAGTGAAAGAAATAAAATATTTTTATTGAATCTCTGAAAAAAAATTATTCAACACTATTCATTTTTACTCATTTAGAAAAGCTTGCATCAAATCACTTCTCCAATGATTAGTCACTTACAATATATATATACACTACCCTACAATACAATATACCCTACAATACAATAAGAAACACTTTGTTTTTGAAAGTGTCAGATAACATGGGAATTTGTTCATCAAAGTTAAATCTTAAACTTTGGATATTCAAGTGAACAAGGTAAAAGAATTTTTTTTAAATTACCTAGAGTGTATAAAGTTTGAAATTTCTGAAGGTAAGTTTGACATGAAATAAAAACAAGTCAAAAATAACTTGATTTAGATCAGTATCTTAGATCAGTATCAGTATCTTGCGATTTGTAAGACCAAACACTCTAGAATTTTCATTTTTACATATAAATATTTTTTCAATAAAGCTTTAAGTTATTTTCTTTTTTGAAGACTTACTTTGAAAAAGTAGTTTCTTAATAATTGGTGTCAAGTGCTCTTTATACATGCACAAGAATTGGTAAATTTATTTTTTATGTCGCTAGTTATCAGGTGTTTGTTTTGGCAGAGACAATGCATTTGTCTCCTTGTGATTTTTTTAATAAACTGGACAATAATTGATTTATGGTGATCCTTTTGACTTGTCTACACTTGATTTCATAAGGTTTACTAACATCTGGACAGATCAAAACTTTATCAACTGTTTTGTTTAAGTCTTCATTTTTGACCTCAGATAAACTTAAGATCTCTAAGTTTGCTTAGCTTGAATACTGTTGATCTTACTTTTCAGGCTTTCAATTTCTTTTTTAAAATTATCATTTTCAGATCTATTTTGAACAGCTTCTTTTTTTATGGTTTACATGTCATTGTTTAGGTCGGTGACTCGAATACTCGTTACAATATTCCAAAATAAAAGATTTGAGTTAAAGTTTTCTTTTCCAAATTTTACGAATGTGTTCAGAATTTAATTTCGTCAGACAAATTGATTTCAGGATTTGCTGTTGACTTTGTGCTTATATTGGAAGTTATTTTCAGGTTCAAAGAGATTTGGTTTTGGAGTTTATTATCTTGACATTTCATCTATTTCTTCTTCCATTGGTGAGTCTATAAGATCTTTCACTGAAAATCCTGCTGTAAAAATGGTAGCTGTCTTAGCAATTGACACATAGAAATTATATTTTGTTGGTTAATGGTATCTTGTTGCATGTTAGCAAGCCATTTTACTGCAATTTAACACTGTTCCAAAAGTGTCCAGATTTTTTCTTTAGCCCATTACAAAAAATGAATTCAATAGCAAGTTTTAACAGCTGCACACATAATGTGATTTTGCTGATTGTAAATTTTAAAGCAATGATTTTTTTTTAAAAAATTATTTAAATAATTGATTTGTTTTAAAAAATCAGTTTGAATCAAACAACCCTGGAAAGATATAAAAGAGATCATCGAGTATTGCGAAGTAACCCATTGCCAGGTAAGACAAAAATACAGGAGGAAACAAAATATTCCAACAAAAAAAATGAAGAGCCTGAATTGAAATACTTCAACGAAAATCTTTTTTCAGCTCAAGTTATGATTGAAAAGAAAATTAGAGATTAGAACATTTAGACTTTGCTTTATTAGATCATCAATAAGTGCTTAACAAAGGTCTTACAAATCGCAAAAGTTTTACAAAATGAACTTAAAAACAAAGTTGTATAATTTTTCACATTCAAAGCAAGTATCATGTAAAACAAAAATTTTGAGTTTAAAACAAAATATGTATTTGATAGTAAGTTTTTAAAATCCTTTAATTTTTTTATTAAGGTGACAACTAAACAAGACAACATTAAGTATTCATCATTTTTTTAAAATGTTTTATGGTGTTGAATGTATAAGATATTCCTAAGTGATCCCAGTTTTTTGTCCTGTATTTTACCTCAAAAGATGCTATATTTTTTTGAAATATTGTCTTTTTTTAATTACAGGGTCAACTGTCAAGAGCTTGAGTTTTTTAAAGCCTTGTGGATATTTTACTGTCAACCTGTAAAAAAGAATTTAACAAAATATTTTTTTTGTATTCTTTTTGTCATTTATGAAATTTGTCTAACAAAAACTTTGAAGTAAAAATTTTAATTTTCACTACCTGTAATTCTTTGGATGACCTGGACATATTTTATTTAAATAATACTTTGTTAGTTTTCAAAACAAACATATGTTGAGTCCTAGTCTTACATTTGTATAAGCTGGTGACAAGAATTTGAGAAAGCTTTGAGTTATATCTTAGTATGGTAAAATGTATGAAGAAATATGGTGAAACATCCTTCTACAGAAAGGAAGAATTTTGTTTGTTGATATTATAATGATTGTTTTTCAATTTCTATGTGGTAGTAAGGACTCCAAAAATAAATTTAAAATATTTCAAAAGTTTTAGGGTAAGCTTTCAGCAGGATATATTAATTATTCAGCTCTGGATTATTATATTAATGAGAATTTCATGTAAAGAAATTATGTAATAAAGATACTCTTTAAGGCTAATAAAGTAAAAAAATTTAAAATAATCTTGAACCCTTTAATTAAGTGCCAACTACTTATTTATATTCAATAATAAACTAGATGTATTTTAACATTAATTTAGATTTTTATATCATTTGGATTTTATAGCAGTGAGAAACAAAATTTAGGTTATCTTTATTATTTATCATGTGTAATGCACATTATGTAAAATATATATTTGACTAATTATCAAATTTATTAATTTTTATTAGTTTTTTTCTCTTTTGGTTTCTTAACATCTATCTAGCTCTAACAAACTTTTTAAATGGTATTTTGATAATAAAAATGGCACATTTTTAAAATGGAAAAAAATAATGTTTTGATAATTGAGTATATTTAAAATTAAGTAATTAGAATATTAAAATATTTTTGAAAAATTATAACTTAGTTGTTAAGTGGAGAAAAAAATATTTTTTCCAAAATCCAGTATTAGCCCAGAAAATTTAGGATAAAAAGTTATTGAGATGTCAATAATTTATGAAAAGCTGAAAACTTTTAGAATAAGGTCTTGATGATGCCATCTCACAGTGATCATAAGATGTGGTTCCCAATAGATCACCAAGGACAAGTATCACTGATAACGGTCAGTGAATGAGTAGGTGTTCACTTTGATTTGTCTGCGAAGGGACTGAGGGTGCTCAGCATCGGTCCTTTTTAAACTGTTCTACTGTAAAGTGGAGGAGCCATCCCCTTAGTAAAGGATCTAAATGGTAATGGCGTGTCTTCGGATCATCTACAGGTATGCTTCCCAGATCGTAGCCCATTGTGCAGCTTTAGTGTGACGTAAATAAAGTAATACTACTACTCATATTTTAATTGCAAATTAAAACTTTTTAATTAACGCAGAATTTAATATTTTAGTAGTAAAAACTGAGGGTGCCAGTTATATGAGTGTACCAATAAATGTCAGTAGTCCTGCTCTGGTATCAGCTTACGAATTGAATATATGACAAATATTTTTGTAGTTTTTTCATCTTTGAGTATTTTAATATTTTAAATCCCAATGGAAGTCCAACTTACATTGTTGTTTACATTGTTACATTTCAATGTGGAAAGTTTTAAATTCGATAAAGTGCAACCATATTGTTTTTCTTATATTTTTGTGCTTAAGATATCATTAAGTGTATCAAATAATAATTAAATGAGCGATAAAATGAATAAGTAAAATATCTGAATGAAGGAAATGTAAATTTTTCCCTAAACAACAGTTCTAAATTAACAAAATTAGTTCCTGAAAAATCATCTGCCATCTCACCATGTGAATGGATACTTAGAGTAATCCTTTTCTATATCAATTCCAGAAAAAAACATTTGTTTCTCTTATCTTTGGATTTAATGTTTGTTCATTTCTTTTCATTATTTTCGGATTGCATCATATTCACTTTTTTTGTAAAATAGCAATTTTCCATGAAAAGCAAGCCTTTTGTGTTCTTGACACTTACTGAGTAATCCTTATTTATGATGATTGATGAATTGATTTGAATGCAAGAATTCAATAGACTGTTTTCTTCTTTCTTCTTTTTTTATGTTTGGATTTAAAATTCAAAATGTGTTTTTTCTTCGCATCATTTTCAGATGTACTCTCAGCATATTCACTTTTTTGAAAGATAGTAATTTTTCTTGAAATGCGCGCCTTTGTCACTTTTGTGTTCTTTGTCTGTACACTTACTGATTTACCTTCATTTATGAGGAATTGATTTGAATGCAAGGATTCATTTGACTGATTTAGAGGCAAGCTCACTAGCGATTTACTTTCATTTGCAATAAAGTTGTTTACAGGTAAGCTTTCCAAACGCAGAGCAGTAGGGTTTCTCAAAAAGGGTTTATTTAAATTATGATCATTTAAGTGACCTATAGCTGGTGTGTTTTCTATTGGTTTAGCCAAATTTCTTGAATCAACAGTTCCTGTATCAAGACCAGAAGCATATTTGACTTGAGAAAGTAAATCATTAATCCCACTTTCTTTATTGTTAATTTTTTGGCTAATTGGCTGAGCATTCCATTCCAGTATAACTTTCCCCATTCGTAAACGAGCTGTTGGTTGCTTAGATCGAAATAAGTTATATCGTCTACGAACATCAGCAGCAGTACGTAGTTTTCTAATTTCTTGAACTGTTCTCTTACAAACTCGCTAGAAAAAGAAAAATCCTAGATATAAGGGGTATCAACAAATTAAATATTGCTGAAAAACAATGTAAGGCTTTTAATAAAATTAAGTCAGTAAAAGTTACTTATTAGAAATTACGAACAAAATATTTTGATCTTGATCTTACCTTAATATGGGTATTTTATTAGTACGCACAGTGCACAAAAAAATGGAACTTCCTAACTAATTTCAGATTTTTCACATACTAGGATTCAAACTTAATGGTTCATGGAGATAATGTATGTTAATTAGTATTAGGGCAATTCCATGAAAAGGGGGAAAAGCATTGGAAAATTCAAATAAGAATAATGTTATTATTTTGGATGTTTTATGAATTAGAAAGGTTTGAAGTTTGATAATTTATCATAATTTTTTTTGAGAATTTAGTTTTTTAGTATTGGCAACCCATTGAACATTGGCATTTGCTTGTTCTGATTTGGGTGAAGAACATGGTCAGATTTTGAAAATCAGTAAGTTAACATTATTTTCATTTCAAAATGTTCCAAAGAATAAATATTGATTATTGCACTTAATAGAAATATTGTGCAGTGTAAAAATAAGTTTTTGTTGTTAAATTCACTTACTTATATAAATTTCAAATAAGCATTATTGCATGTAACGTAAGTTACCAAAAACTAGGAAAAGTTTGCATGTGTAAAAAAGATCAAGTGATACAAAAGTAAGAATAATATTTTTTCTTTCTTAGAGGCTAACACTAAATAAGCAGCAATAGTTTTCTTTTCAAATATTACTTATTTATTGTTTTGTGCCCCATTCAATATGTGTAACGTAAGTTACTGACATGCATGCAATGTAAGTTACCAATGTGAAATGAGTTTATTCCTCTTGAAAATTGGCATACAAACTAAATAAGATGTATCCAGTTACAATACCAAAGTTTAAATAAATTATCACTGCCTTAAGATATTAATTTTAATGAAACTCTTTGCTTTAAGTTATTAATTTGGGTGTTGGCATTCATATGTTTTCAAAGTTGAACGAAATCTTTCGACAGGCACCGGGAGTTAAGGATGTAGTTATAATTAGAGATGCTAATGGTAGCAAAAAGAAAGTACAAGCACGGCATCTTCATCATTCAGTTCGAGAAATGCACCAAATGTTTATGGAAGAAAATCCAGAATGCAAAATTGGAAAAACTAAATTCTTTGAGCTCCGTCCAAAGCATGTCTTGCTTAGTAGCAAACTTCCAGGCAATGTTTGTGTTTGTAAGCATCATGAAAAGTTCGGATTGACTAAGGAAGCCTTCAGCAAAATTTATAATGTTCCATCTTACGAAATTCTTTAGAAATTTATTTTATGTTTAGAAAAAACAGCTGAGTGCGAGTCTCTAGAACAGATGAGTGGAGTGTCTAGTCTATTCTCAAAATCTCCACAGATTAAAAACATTAAGCAGATCCACCATTTAAGAGTACAAGAAGGCATACCAGAAGAGTTTTTTTTAGTGAAAGATGTTGAAAAAGAAAATGATGAATCCAAGATAAATGCTGGGGGTTGATATATGGTTAGATAGGAGGACATGTTATATCCTGGTGTGGTAATGTCTGTTGCAGAGCAAGAATTTAAAGTCAATGTAATGGCTGCTGTGGGAATCTATTGTAAATGGCCAGAAAAAAGAGATGAAATATTCTACCAGAAAGAAAGCATGGTGAAAAGAATTGAGCCCCCTGTACTAGTTAATAACAGAGGACTTAATAAGTTTGCAGTTATGTGTGAATCAAAAGTATCTGAATTTTCTTCATGTACACTTTTTCTCCCTTGCACTATACTGTTTAAATATCCTAATTTGCATTTGTACATTATTGGAATAAAAGTTTGATACAAAGTGAATTTCGTAACGTAAGTTACTGTAACGTAAGTTACCCATTTAAAAAATCATATTTAATTTAACTTTTGAAATAAAATTTTAAATCTAGGCATAAGAAATATTTAAACATGTCAGAAAAATGATACATATAATCTTAATCAATTAACATTTGTATAAGAACAGAATTTTGCCTTCAAGCATATTGCAAATTTTTGCAATTCCTTTTTTGGTAACGTAAGTTACCACACTAATTTTAGGTTTTAACACTGTTTAAAATGAAAAATATTAATTATTTTAATTAGGTTCCCTTTGGTTTTGATTGTAATTTTAAGAAATCACTTTATTTCAATATGTGTATTAGTATTATTTGTTTGTTTCTAAGCTCTCAGTGCAATAAAATTTCTGTGAATGTAACGTAAGTTACCGTGGAATTGCCCATTAGTTAATTGCAAGAAGGTTTGTTATTTAGTGCAAGTAATATTTCAAATTACAAAATCTTGCATAAAAACTACTTTCTCTGAATAAATATCCCTTTTTTCTACAGATTTGGATTCCTGATCCTCACAATATAGGAGGTTGCTGTAATCTGGAAAATATGGTTCAAATAGCTTGGTCAAGACAGCAGTCTAAAGTTTGGGCCCCTTAATGTTAATTATACTTATTGCGTATTTTGCAATATCTCGAGAATTTTTTAAACGAATTGAAAAATTTTTGTGCCCAATTATAAAATTCATTTCTCGTAAGCTAATTTCATGCAAAAAATAATTTTTTATAATTATTTATTATTTTATATTTTGTTTAAAAATTAGAAGAGATTATTAATTTCGAAAATTGTTTGTATATAGTAAGGTACAGAAATTTTTGCATCATTTTAAAGAATGTATTTTATATAGTAAAATTAACAAAAATTTTTGATTAGTTCTCGAGAAATTAAAATTTAAACATACAGGTGATTCCTGAAAAACCTAACAATACCATGTTCAAACAAAATAATGGAAAATTGGCTTGAAATAGAGATTTTTTATATTTTTAGGACAAGATTTTTCACATGCATACATATAAAATAGATTATGCATTTACAATTACCTAAAAGTCACACTCCTGGCCTGTCTGAGACTTTTTCTTAAACTTATTTATTAAAATTAATGCACCAACATTTTAATTAATAAAGTAATATTTTTTAAACTAATGTAACTCACTAATGTGTATCCAAGGTTTTGTCCCAATGTTTTCATGTCATTCCAAGGAATTCTTTTTATTATTTTATGAAAAAACTAAAGAATTTTTAGTTTTCTGCTTACAATATTGTTTATTCCCTTCCCCCCATTCTGTTTCATTAATTGAATTCTTTGAAGATCTGATTTACCCGTGTTCTTAACATAACTATGAAGTTCTAAATTGAGGTGTATAACAGTTTCTACTGTCGTTCTCCTGTACAACAGTTTTATTATAAATGAAAACATTTTTAAAAATACATGTTATAATGTGATGATTCTAATAGAAGAACTTTCTTAAGTCTAAATCTGCCTTTAGCAATGCCCACCTGTTCATAAGCCATCATGTGGCAAAACTTCAGGGCGCTTGAAAGAAAGAGAGCCATTTTTATTTTATTTTTTATCATACAAAAAAAAAATTCAATTTCTTCGGCTGCTGACCTTTTATAATGTTTGTAACTAAAAGTGGAGCCTCTTAAAGGTTTACGTTTATATACTATTTATATTTCCCTCATACGTAAGGTAATCTCTGAAGCAAAGAAAGAGGTTCTACGGTTTTATTACTTTACAAGCTCTACTTTGTGTATGTTTGAGAAAGGGAAAATATTTTCGCTCGCCTCAGTACTGGGTTTTTGAGAAAAAGAGGAACAAACAGAGGACTTAAACAGGAACAGAAAAAGAGGATTTTATTACGGACGCTTTTCGCTTTATAATCTGTATACAGTTAACTTAGCTGCGTCACAAAATTAAAATTTATTCATTGCTCTCAAATTTGTATTTTTCCATTTAAAATTGCATTCTTTAAAATAATGTAAGAGTTTGAAAACCTTAAATTTGAAAATTGTCAATTATTAAATAATAATAAAAAAATAAACATGTATTAAAAGTTGTAGCTTGCACGTAATCTTTGGATAAACGAATTTTGTAATTGCGTGCAAGATTTTTTAAAATTCGCATAAAAAGTTTTCTGAATTATGCAAAAAGCAAAATTAGCATAAAGGGTCCAAACTTAAGACCCTCTTTTCCTGACCTAACTATTAGGACCATGTTTACCAAATTGCTGCTACACCCCATATTTTGAGGGTTAAGAACCCGAATCCATCGAAAAAATGGCATATTTCAGAGAACGTGCGTTTTTGCTGATATAACTTAGCGTGACTTAATATATGGTTTGTAATAATTGACTGGCATATTTGTGGTCAGTCCTTTGAACCATTTAGATTGAGTCCTGATTCGTAAAAATCCGATTATTATATCAAAAGTTATTCAGGGTGCTCCATTTTTTATTTTACGCTCAACTCATTTTGTTTTATAAACCTATATAGATGTTCTTCTAAAAAAGTAGAATTTTTTGTTGTAAGTATTTTAATTTTTTAACAAAACACGCAAATTTGGCAAACTATTAGTATTTGTAGTACTATTTAATCATCGAAGAAAATTTCTCCACAGCCTGTTAGTTTTATGAAAAAAATCAAAACTTTAAAAACAAATAATTATGTATTTTTCTGCAATTTTTAAAAAGCTTCTTGAATAATAATTTGTCATTTTGCTTCATAAAAGAACATTAAAAATCAATGCAATGAGCTATAGAATCTGTAAGTATAGGTATAGAATATTCGCGTCTGAATCTCTTTTAAGACCATTTTGTGGGGCAAGTAGTGTAAAATTTAATTATCAATTAATTGTGTGGGTTAGATTTAGTTTAATAATTATTAATTTAATAATATAACTAAAATTTTACACTAAGAATAAAAAAAATTTCACTCTTAACACTTTAATCTTTAAATTTGTATTCTATTGTTAACTTTTTACTCTTTTTTATGAGAATGTTGTAATTTGAAAAATAAATGTTACTAAGTAATTTAAAAAAGGGATATGTAATTAAAATATTGCCATAAGATTTTGATAATAGTATTTTTTAATAACTATACAGTCAAACTTTTATAGCGTATCTATTTTTCGATAACCTAAAATAATTTTAAAAATCCTATCCTAGTTAAGCGCCTTTGACTTGTATAAACGTCGGACCAAATCTTAAGTGCGATGCGTATGACGTGTACATTTGTCATGTAAAATGAAAAATTACCATTGATCACCAAAACTTAAAATTTTATAAATGTATAATAATATCATTTGTTGACATGTTTCTGTTATATTAATCAATAGAACTGCTTATTATAGCTTATCCAAAAAAGATTTAGAGTAAAAAATAATTTTTAATACTTATTATTTTTATTAAAATATTTAATAATATTCGGAATTTTTATTAAAAAAATATAATTTTAATTTAGAATTATTTTTTAAAAAATATAGTTTTAAAAATCAAACTACGAAATTTGAATGAAATCGGTCATATATTTTCTGAATTATCAAATTTTTAAAAAAGTCGTATATTTAAAAATAATATTATTAAATAAAATGATAAATTTGCTATTAAAAATTGTTTTTGCATGAAAATTCCTTTGGATCGAAGAATTTCATAAATTAAAAATTTCTTAGATTCACCAGATTTCTTACTGCATAGCACTTAATGGAACGTCCTCAAGGAGTTGTATCAGAAAAAAACTTTTTATTTATTTATTGTATTTCGTTTTCTGCTTTTATTACACTTTTTGTCAAAAAGTCTGCCACTGGGGGAAAAAATCGACGATAAAAGTTTTATTACTATAATACTGTGACATTGTTTTTGCTATTTTAATACTATTATAATAACCGATTTTGATCTTTTGCATCCAACCTTTTACAATAATTTATGATCGAATTTCCATAATATCGTTTCGATTTTCCTATTTAATACGTATATTTTTCAACAAAGATCCTGTTTGGAGGTTTTCATGTTGATGATAGTTGTAGTTTTTTCTTTTATGGTTTGAATCATTTGAAAATGAGTTGTTTTACTAAAAGATTGTATTTCTTAAATAAAAATTTACCTTCCAGAGTGAAAGTGCTTGCTTTTTCTCTTTTGCTTTTGATTTTGGTTTTGCTTTGATGACAATAACTCCTCGTACTTCCGTATCAGTTGAAGGCATTTTGATTGAATAAGTTTGAATGAATTCTTGGGCTTTCTTGCTGTCTATGGCTCTTTCTAATGCCACAATCGTATTAGCCCACTGAAAGCAATTTGAACATGAATTAATATAATATTTGACCATCAAAAGTTTTAACTTAATTTACAGTTTTTTGCCGTCAAAAGTATTATCTCCAAAAATTGTACAGTGAAACCTCTCTGTTCCACAGTAAAATGGTCGTTTTTAGGGTTTACCTTCATTATCTTCAAAATGTTATTGAAGGTACACGCAAGCTATTTTAATTTTTCTCAGTGTCAATTTCTTGGTGCGGAAGTGCCGGAAAACCGGAACCAATAAAAATGAATTTTACTGATATAATTATGAATGTTCGAACAATTTTAAATAAATAAGCAATTGTGCTTTTTGTTTAAGTTTGCATATAATTTTATTTCATAAAAATTACTTAGCTTTAAAAAAAAATTTTTTTTCAATAACGGCAGGCACTGAACTTTTCGTTCTTCGCCATAGAAGATGCCGGAATTGTTACTCATTTAGCGTTACCCAGTGGGCACCTGTGAACCAAACTCACGGAGGCGAGCAACGTTACCCACGCCATACTGCCACAAACCCGTTCATAGGGTGGGCCTCATTCACACAACAGAAGACAACACAGAGAGAGAAACATCCATGCCCAGAGCGGGATTCGAACCCGCGGCCATTGACTCCGCAGTCAGACACGCTAACCACTCGGCCACCTGGCCGGAGCTTTAAAAAATGAAAAGAGGTTTGTACGTGACGCTTTTTTTTTTTAAACCTTTTTTTTTCCTAATTTAACTTTTAGCTCTAGAAATAAATCATTGATAGCTGTCAATCTCTTTCAGAGATCCTCAAAAGAATTCTCTAAATAAGAGCCACTCACAAACATTTTGAATACATTTAAAACCACTGATTTGTTTTGTTAATATTTTTTGTATTGATATTTTTCGTGTTTCTTTATTTGACCTTTTCCGCATTTGGTGCGAAGGATTGCCTGGACACTGTGGGAGGTTTCGATGGTCTCTCCTCTATTGCTTGCCAACGCCTTAAAATTTTGATCTTTTTAAAAAGAAAAAAAAATTGAAAACTTTGCAAATTTTTAAAAATTGTCAAATAAAAACAAATTACCTCTCGAAAGTTTTGTATTAAATGAAATATTGCTGGTGGTTTCTTCAGATTTTTTCAACAATACTTTTTACTTTCTGCTACAGCATAAAACAGCAGTAAAATTTTACATAAAATATAAAATTTTGAAGAATCACGGAATTTTTAAAAATTGTCAATGCAAAATAAACTTACCTCGCTAACATATACAATTACTAAAATATTATTCATGATGTTTCTTGTTCCGGTTCAATTTTTTTTATTCTAACTTTTTTCAAATTAATAACACTTTTGTGAGGCTGATAAAAATAAAATGAAAAGAGATAAATTCAAAGAGTATGTCATAAGTTAACAGGCATATTTGGTGGACATTTACAAGAAAAAACTGCTTGGTGTATTTATTATAATAATTTTGATTTGTACTATAATCATAAGTGCCATAATTTCTGCTACATAAATAATTCTACTGTATAATTTTGTATAATTTTGATGAAACTTGGTATCTACGCTATGTGGACTAGGGAAAATGTTATCTGCAATTAAAAAATAGCTTGAATTTTAACCACCAGATAGTACATTTCAAAATTACTTATTATGAGGAGTTGTTTTGTTAGTTTTCATGTTTCTGACCTATATAATTGTACACACCTTACCAATGAGTTAAAAATATTAATTTTAGTCTCTAATAAAATATAGTCTATAATTATTAATAATTCTATAATATGAGATTTCATTCTTCTAGGGCAGGGATGGCGAACCAATGGCACGCGTGCCATTTATGGCACCCGACGCAATATTTTGGGCACGCCACCGATCACATTTGTTATTACATTACACAAATGTTATTACACTATGAAGCATATGTAACAATTAAATTAAAGTTCACAAAAAAATCACAAAATAATATACAATTATTAATAAAAAAATTAACAATTAATGCTAAAAAAACAACTAATAACCATAAAAAACAAGCTAGCAATAAATAACTATCAAAAAAATTAACAGTCCTGCTTAAACTAACATCTTGCAACCTAATCTAAGTTATTTGTCATCTAATCTGCAACAACAGAAGTCACACTGATGTTACTATAAGTTGAATAACGCGTATGACTGAGACATTGCAAAATGTTTTTTTTTTCAATGTAAATAACGAATTTTGAGTTGATAGTATTTAGTATTATTATTTTCCCAATAATCACGAAGTCAAAACTATTTGACGGCACGTCTATGACCTCATTAAACAATTTTTTAGAAAAAAAATGGCACGTTGGTGTATAAAGGTTCGCCACCCCTGTTCTAGGGGAATTAAGTTATCATACAATTATTATTATGAATTGCAATTATTATGAAAATTTTGAATAATTATAAATATTTATAGTAATTTCTATCTACTATTCAAAAATTAAAGGTGGCAAAATGTTGTTGCTTTTTTTCCCTCACAGTCAGCAAGAGTATTCTGTTTTATCAATAAGATTAATACAACATGACCTTAATTTACTTTTCAAAACTAGCATTAAATTACCTGTAACTCCATGTTCGTATTAATCATTAGTTAGTATCTGAGCGTAGAAAACACATTACAACTTAAGTTTTTAGAATAAAAATCTAACTCTTTGTATACTTTAAACTTAACCGCTTCCCTTACCAGTTTTTTTGAAGAAAAAAAAATGCAAAAATCAGCATATTTTTTATTTCATTAATAAATACAAGGAACTAAAACAAAACGTAATAAACTAGTTCTAAATGGAAATTTTAATTTTCTTATGTGTAAAAAATATTTAATTTACCATGAGTTTACAATCCCAAATTATCTCGGGCCAATTAAAAAAGTTAAATATTAGTCTTTGTATGTGTTCACATCTTCATAATCTGAAAAATCATCTGCATTACTTTCGCTCGCGAACGCCATTTTTTTGCTCTCTTTTTTCTATGTAAATTCATCAACCATCGTATATACAATTGTACAAAACACGTCTGCAGTCCCATAAATAGCAAAACTTCCAAAAAAATATTGGCAAACTTCCAATCGTAGCAGATTATTATTTTTTGCTTTGCTTCCGGCGGAATAAAAACGTGATGAAACAAAACGTAATGATGAATTGTAGTATGCCCGAGTTTACTCGGGATAATAAATATTTGCAATCTATACATACCCGAGTTAACTCGGGAAAATAAGGGAAGCGGTTAATCTTCAGAATTAAAAAAAATATTGGATATTATAAATAAGGAATTACTGACCTGTTTCATCCATTCTTTTTCTGATTGGGTAATAACTTCACAGTATGTGTTCCCCATCATAGCAATCAGCATGTTCAATAATAAAATTGGCATGAAAACCATAAAGAGTGCAAAAACTAATTGTGTTAACATCTTATAATAGGTTTCTCGAAATTCTTCATACTGTCAAAATAAAGAATCAATGTTAGTTCATTGATATATTATATTTTATTAAAACAACGTTTAAAATCTGTCTCAATGGTACACCCTCATCAGTAGGATAAATGATTTAATCCGATAGAAGTTACGAAATAAATATACACTTAAAGGTAAAGCATTAAAATGATAGAAAATTAATGTTATTTTCTTTCTTTTTGATCTTTTACTTTAAAGTGTAGATTTATCTCTTTAGCATATCGTAACCTTTGTCGGATAAAATCATTTCGATTTTACCGTTCTTGCCATTTATCCTACTGATGACGGTGACACCGAAACACATATGGGTTTTAATAAAGATTTTACCATTCTTGCCATTTATCCTACTGATGACGGTGACACCGAAACACATATGGGTTTTAATAAAGATTTTACCATTTATCCTACTGATGACGGTGACACCGAAACGCATGTAGATTTTAATTAAAATTTTACCATTTGTTAGGTTGTTTTTAATAAAATTCAACTGCTACGGACTCTTCGTAGTTTCAGAAAATATTTTTCCTAGTCATAGTAAGGGTAATTTATTTACATTTAATCAATTAAAAGAATCTTGTCCACCACGTGTAGTTTATACAGATGTATAAAGGTCGGTTATATAGACAAGTGCTTTAATTCTTAGAAATTTTGGGGTAAAATATCCGCTGAAACCACTACCTTCTACCACTGAAAAAAACTATTTGCAACAGCCTCAAATAGAGTCTGCGAAATTTAAAGAATCAATTCCTCTTAAATGGGATTAATGCATTTTCTAGCATCGAATAAAAAAATGATATTTTTTAGTATTACACCAGAAGGATTTTTTTTTCAAAAACTGTTAAATAGTTGCAAAAATCTATGAGTATGAAATAGTTTTTTAAGTAGAGGTTTTAAAAACAATTTGAATCTTATTTGAATGCTTTCTCTTATACTAATATTTTCAAGAGTTGCTTTTCAAAAGAATCTTTCTACTAATTCATGTAAAGTTAAAAAGTATTTCTCATCTATTACTTTTTTTAATTATGGCTGAAACTGTCCTTGTATTTATCAATGGCTGCAGTGTTAGGATTTAAATTATGCTAGAAGTGGTACGAAAAAAATAATATTTAAATATTAACAAAAATATTCCGTTTTATATATTTTTAAATATTTCTAATGCTTAACTATGTATTTTTGAAATATTATCCTTTGAAATATTATCCTTTGAAAAAGGTTTCTTACATTTATTTTAGGTAAGAGATCTCTTACTTTCCCCCCATATTTTATAAAGGCTCTTTTCAAGTAGCAACTGCTGGTTAAATATTTATTTGTTTCGATAACTTTGCGTAGTTAATAATAAAATCTTCTAAATGTTTAAATTACAAAAAATGAATAATGAAAACTTATTCATATCTACTTCCTCCTTATCTTGAATTCTACAATAGTTAGAGGTTTGTCATCACCGGGTGGTCATTTTTTTTTGGGGGGGGGGGGGCTAAGGAAACTGTTCCACAGTTATAATTTAAATAATTCCATACATAGTTGATATAAATAAATGAATACCTCATAAGATCCCAAGGTCATATGAAGAAGCCCCATCCATGTGACAGGATAACTAGAAAATCTCTTTTTATTATCAAGTCTATCAGTCTTAAATAAAAAATAAAAAGCTGTAAAACAATCAAAATTGAATGAATCAATATTAGGAACCTATACTTAAAATTTATAACACTTAAGATCTATTTACTTTGTACTTTTTTTATGAAAAAAAGTTGTCAACTAAATTTTTAAAATTATGAAGATTTTTGTTTTAGCTTCTAATAAATAATGTTATAAATTCAACTAATTTACATATTTTAGCCAAAAATAACTTCTTTATGATTCCATCTAAAAGAGTAATAATTTGGTTGATGTGCTAAAACACATGTGCACAGTGCTAAATCATGTAAATTAAGTTGAATCAATAAAATAATTAAAATTATTTAAGAGATCAAATGCAAACTTCATTGTAACTATGATGACATTAAAATTGCGTTAATCGCATCGTATTCAAGTAAATAACCAAAATAATAATTTAAAAATGCATTCATTTAATTAATTATACTTTAAACATAAAAGCACTATTCGTGCTGAACTCGTAGCCTGTATTGTCTTTCTATTAAAAGAACTAAAAGTATGATTTTGTTAATCATAATATAAAGGCAGACTTCCCCCAGCTTCGTCATGTAACGAAATTAAAGTGTTTGTTTAATTATTCATTTTTGTTGTTTCTTAAAATAATAATTTTTAAAAAAAATCACAGAAAAATCTTACGACAAATATTTATGAAAAAACATTTTTATAAATATGATGCTTATATTACACATTTCAAGCACTAAATGTATTAATTTTCTTAATTGTATTTATTTTTGGAATATTCACACATATTTAAAGAAGCATAATATTTTTGATTTTACTGTTAAAAATATTTTAGATATAATTTCTGAAATGGAAAGAATTATTTGTTTGCGATAAATAGTGAAATTTAAGTGGGTTGTTATAAAATATAATCAAATATATTACGTTTTCTCTAAATATGTGTGAATCTTTTGAAAAATAAATAAATAAAGATAAAATAAATAATAAAAAAAATAAATTTAGTGGTTGGAAAATGTAATATAAGCATCATATTTATAAAGAAGTTTTTCCATAAACATCTGTTGTAAGATTTGTAAATTTTTTTTTTAAATTGTTTTTTTAAGAAGCAACGGAAGTGTATAATTAAAGAAACACTCTAATTTCGTTATATGATAAATAGGGGAAGAATCAGTTTCTCTCCATTTTTCCCAAAAATGACAATTGGATCGCCATTGATCGCTTTTCACGGATTACTGAACTTAGAAAATCGGTTCTCTCCGACAGTTATTTCACAGTGAAGATGGGTCATGTAGGCGGAAAGAGTTCCTGTCAGCTTTAAATTTCTGACCTGCTTGTATTTAAATTTTTACATTTGTTTCATTTTCGTCAACACTTTTTAAAATGTGTTAAACAGGTTTGTAAAAATATTTTCTACGTACAAACTTTACAGATAGCAATTAGACAAGAATTAAATAATCTTTATTTACATTAGTAATTTAAGATGCTGCAGGGGTTTGAATAAAAATAAAGTTTAAAATTTTGTTTTAAATTTTTTTTCCATTTAATAATTTTTTAAAACAAAATAATTATATTTTGTTTTAAAAAAGAAAATAACGAAAAATTCATTAACGGTTTTCCCTCCAAATAACATGTTTTTATGCTTTTTTAAAAGCATGCTCACAAATTTTCTACCTGTATGCTTGCTAATTTGTTAATTTAATAAGCTTATAATATTAATAGTCAAATTTTTTCCTCATTATACATAATTTTCAAGAATTTTCTTAGGATAATTTGTAACTTTAAAATAATTTAAAATTTTTTGGAATAAAAGAATTTATTTAAGAAAATCATACTTTTACATAATATAATAATAACACTGAGAAATATTTTTAAAATTTTCTGCAGCATGATTTTTTTTTTCGACAGATCTTGGATATTTCCTCGTCGCTGATTTCGAATCTGCTATCGGATTTTTTTCCTAGCGACACTTTTTTTTTAATGGCATTTTTAGTCTTACCTTTTGTGGAAACGTAAAAGTTTGAAAACGTTATATGTAACAGGGGGTCGCATAAATGCTGTGACAAATTTCTAGAGGAGTTAAGGATCATCATTAAAATTAAAATAATATAGGAACTCATGCCTGGAAATTTCACCATACGCCGATAGAAGCGCTTTCTTATTATGAACTGTTTCTTACGATGGCATGGGTTATTTAATTTTAATTCTGATGATGAGCCCCAACTCCCCTGGAAGTTTATAGAAATATAACGTTTTAAACTTAAATATTTCAACAAAAAATAGACTAAAAATGTCATTCAAATTTTTTTTTTAGCTTTAGGAGCAAAAACTAATTTTAGATTTGAAATCTTGGCACCCGAATTAGGTAAGATCAAGTATTTGTATAAATGAAAATAGAAATTTGTTTCTCAGTGGAATTATTATTACTTTGGATTAGTAATCAATGCAGAATAAGTAAAAGAACAATAACTAGATATAAATATTTATTTTCAGTGAATTAAAGTTTAAATAAATGCGATATTTAAAAAAATTTTTTTTATTGGTTTAAAAAAGGGGGGGAAAAGATAACTATATAGAGATATTATACGTAAGATGCTATTGGCAAGCGATAAAAAATTTAAAACGTGGAAAACATGAGGATTTTAATTAACAAATACAAAAAATTATGCATAGATACATCATAACTATTTTCACAACAGCCGTAATTAAAAATGCAAGGAATGTTTATATTATATATAAAGTAGAAAAGGAATAAATTTTGTTAGGAAAATAAACAAAATCTAAACTTTGTCAAATTAACAATTGATACGTACTCAATTAAATAGTTGAAAATAAAATTATTCAAAAACGGTTTAATGACGCCTTTTTTATTCTAAGAGAGAAATGGAAAAACTGGAAGCAACAAGTTCAAACGTATGTACCTTAAAAGAAACATTTAAAAGGAGTATTTAAACTGAGTCATTTCGTTAGAATAAATAGTGCGAGTGTGCTTGGTTACAAAATCAAGCACACGGGAGGGGTAATTGGTTGTACAGAAATTGTACGTTTTATAATTATTTTTTTATAAATGAAAGAAATTTGAAAGAAAATCATTAAAAAAAACAGTAAATGGAGAATAATTTTGACTGCACACCAGGAACTATTCAGGTTTTTGGTTTACCAACAAGACTTATCTGTGGTGTAAAATACAATTTACAGTATAGGAAAGAATACCTTACCTTGTGTGAAAGCCAAGAGGAAAATTGTATATATAATGCTGAATCGAAACATGTCCCCCACAAGCATGCTATAAATCATAGTCACAAATGGTCCAGTTAATCTAACTGCCCTGAAATTTGAAATAAATTGTTTTCGAAGCTCTTTTCGTAAGAAACATTTAAAATTATTATTTTTAGCTCGATAAGAAGGATTAAAATCAATAAATATGCATAGATTTAAACTGTAAGGTCTACAGTTTTTTACATACGTTTTATGAATGTAATTATAACTGGCAAAATTTAAACGCAATCGGTCGAATAGTTCCGGAGAAATCGAATTTTAAACATCTGATTTTTTTAAAATTCGATTTCTCGGAAACTATTCGACAAACTTCGAGCGAATGACGTATTTTTGAATATAAAATTAATTTTTTTTAAAATGGGGTAAAAAATTTTATGCATTGTTATTCAAAAATATTTTAGACCAATATTAAATAAAATATTAAGTTATTGTTAAAAACTATTTTTTGCATTGAATTATCTCTGAATAAACGAATTTTATAATTGTGTGCAAAAATATTTCAATTTGCTTTAAAAGTTCTCGAGATAAGGTGGGATAGTTTGCCTATTTCACCTTATCTCGAAATCTTAGACTTTCAACCGTTCTCCTGACCAAACTATTGGGATGATATTTCCCACATATTTTGATTGTCAAAAATCTAAATCTTTTGAAGTAATGAGGTGCACTGTAAAAACTGTGACGTAATAATATCCCTCCGAATTTGATATTGAGTAATCGTAAAAATTTTACAAAGGAACACCCTCTTTCAAGTGCAGCTCTTATATACAATTTGAAAACCCTAAACAACCGAAAATTTAAAAAGTTTTCACGGAGTTCACGCTCTTTTACACCATACATTAAATATTTTCCTTTACGGAAACACCAAAACTCACGCCTTGTCATATCGTTTAGAATTGATAACGAGTTGGCAAGTGATGTATAGTTTGTCTAAAGTAAGAACTCCCCTACCCATTCATCTGGACCCATGGCAGTGGTTATGGTAACGAGATATAACTATTTCAAGAAGGGGTGTGGGGTCACTGTTTAGGACAGGTTTGCGAGAGTATATTGTGTTAGCCCTAGAGTGAAGAGAAGCTACCCTTCCTGAAATGCGCTATTCTTGTTTCCATAGAAGCAGAGGGCTTCAGACTTTGTGGTGGGGGGAGTTCTTCACAAACTATAATTGTTTTCAATGTTACTTTTCTTTCACAAAAACTAAAGTCCGCTGTTAAAAATATGTATGTATGTTTTTAGTTGTGTAATAACGATATATTCTATTCTCTATGAATTAATCTTATAATTTCTGCTTTTTTCGAAATCGCCTTAGCATTCTTTTTGTGTATGTTTGATTTACAAACTTATTTTGTTTTAAGAAGTAGTATGTGTATGCAACTTTATATTGTCTTGCAAACTTTACTGATTCTTATGCGTATCATATCTTACTATAATTATAAATTTCAGTGTTACTGAACAACAAACATGGTGATTGGTGGCTGTAACTTTATGTTAATTAGTGTAAAAGAACATCTTAAGTGTTTCAGTGCAACAGGAACTATCCTGGGGTTTCGTTGTTGTAGAACACCACATTGAGGTAAAGTAGTTGTCACCATTTTTGATGTTTAGATACGCAAAAATTTTCCTAGTGTATGTTAATTTAGAAAAAATATGTTTTTATGTCAGGTTTTTTAACTTAAAATATCGTCGGTACAAATTAATAAGCGAACAGTCAGTGGCCAAATTATTAGACGTACTATAAGATTCTATGTAAAATCTTAACAGCTTTATTGTTTTTATGTGACAACCGGTTTGCACTTGTTTACGTTAGTGTATCAATTGGTTAAATTAAACGATAGATAATATAAATTCGACGATAGGATAAATTAGACGATATATTATGTAAATATAGAATATTTATTATATCAAGCATTATATTAGTATATTATAATAATTAGATCTAATTATTAGACGCACTGTACTTTTTTAATAATTACATGATTTGCACGAGTTTATTTGCAATACTTTTATATTTAATCATACATGTAATGGGTTTTTATTCGGGATATTTTTTATATACTTATGTACTTCCTATTTGTATTTATTTTTAACGTATTGCATTATAAGATTAACCAATTGATACAGAAGCGTAAACAAATGTAAACCGTTTTCATCCGAGTAAAAACAATACAACTGCATACAGGGTGCGTAGCGTTTTTAAAAAGTGCTTAAATGTGCTTATTTTCGTTTTTTAAAAGCCCCTAAAGGTGCTTTTTCCATTGGGTGTTTTTAAAAAGTGCTTAATTTTCCCTTTTCCAAAATGAGATTTTTCCTTTATCATGTTGATTTTTGCTACGAATTATGCAAAAAGACACAGTTCACTTTGTTCTATTCAACGTTTTCACAATTAATTCAACCCCAATCTATTTCGGCGTATTGTCAGTTCGTAGAGTATGAAAACGTCATTCATTTTACATGATTCAAAATTTCATGATTTTTGATATTTGTCAAAAAAAAATACCAAAAGGATTTTTTTTGTTGACATAACGGTTAAAACCAGATAAAACCGTCAATTGTCAAAATTTTCCAACCCTGCCTAACTAGGATAATTTTTAAAGTGCGAAAAAATATTTTTTGAATGCTTGAAAAGTCCTTAAAAGGTGCTTATTTTTTGTTGAATAATTTGACTACGCACCCTGTGCACAGTATCACATGATAATTATAATTTTACATAGAATTTTATAGTGCGTCTAGGCCAGGAAATAATATTTGAGCCATTTTAAGCCATTAAGATTAAGCCCCGATACTCGAAAATCTGATTATTAAATCAAAAGGTATTCAGATTGTTCCGTTTTTTATTTGGCTCAAAGAATTAATATATTTTTTAATTCTATATAATAAGTAGTAATATTTAGGATTTTTGATGCAATATAAATATAATGGAATATTTGTGACTGATTAGGGCTTATTATTTTCGCCCCTTTGTTCAGAATCAATCTATTCAAATAGTTCGAAATCATAGTAAGTAAAAGCTCTGTGTATGTATGTTATATGTTTTGATTACGCACATACATTCAGTTGCAATTGCTGAAAAAGGTTGTTTTTTAGATCTTTTCAAATATTTGAAGCTTGAACCTCAAACTATAATATTTCATTCGATTAAAACTTCTAATATTGTTGCTGTTTTTTATATATTTTTTACTTTTTAAATAAATGTTTCAACTGAAATTTTCTCTATCATATTAATTTTCAACCAGCAACAATTTTCGAATTTTAATTTTAATCTACAAAATTAAAAGCAATAAAAAAATGTCTTAAAATTTCTGTTTTATTTGATGATGTATACATTAAAAAATAGTGAACAATTATTAATGATAATACTCAAAAAAGCATACCGTTCTAAAATTTAAAAACATTAATTTTTTAGAGATTATGAAGTTGTTTATACATGCAACTAACAATAACGAAAGCTTACCCTGCAAAAAAAATGAGATAAAACCAAGATCCAGGAATAGCCATGACTAAAAGTATATCTTCTGTCTCTCTATCTTCAAGAACTCGGCAAGGAATACAAGATAGAATGAAAATGCAAGATAAAATAAACATAGTCTTAGTTGGACTTGTAGTCTGAAATGAATCATTGTTAATCTTAATAGGCCGCAACATAACACATAATTTAATCATGTATATAATCTCTTACTTTCTTTTGCTGTGGTTATTAAAATGATGACATCACATTCGAAGACAAATTTATTAGACAAGTACTAGTCATTTTTTTATTTATTGGACAAGACAACTCACATTTCTTACGTTACGGTTAACAGGATAAATAAGTGTAAAGCCTTATAAGCACCACTTAGTATAAATTTGAAAATAATAAGTTTCCAATACATTTGGAATCATCACCAGTTTCATAAGTAAAAAAAATGTAAACCCCATTAAATTTTTTTAAATTTGAACAGCCGACCCAATTCTGAGTTTACGACTATCAATGTTGAACTCCATGGGCATGATATTTTGAACCCAACCCAGAAAACAAGGGAACTGATGGGTCAAGTATTGAGACAAAATAGCCTTCGTGGAGGACTTCTTGATGGAACTAACCCAAATTTGCGTTACTAGGAGGTGAAAACTGAGAGATCATCCCATAGTTAGCGCTACGGTAAAGGGTTTATAACCCATGTTCAATCTACCACTAAGGATATTTTACGTCAGCAATGTGGTCTCTGAGTTCGTATCAACCAACCGCAGCTAGATTTCGAACCTGGGTCACCTCATTGGGAGGCGAACGCTCTATCCCTTTAAATTGTAAAAAACTCATTACAGACGATCTATTTTCCAGTTTTTTTTCTATATTTTTTAGCTAATGATTTATTTAACCTCTTTCTCTTCAAACATCTTTTATAATAAAAATATTTAGTAATAGTCAACGCTCGACATTACAACCCATGTAAAAACGGAACTTAAAAAGTGAGGTCCTTATGTCGTAACAACAAAAAATACCATGAATATTAATTCAATGCAAAAAGAAACCGATTTTAACAAAACATTGCTTTAATTTAACAAGAATTATGGAATTAACAAAAAAATTGGCAATGATGCAACTATATACGCAAAAGTCTCCTTTAAAATAATGGAGAAAAATTCATTAAAAATAATATAGCGGTGGATTGAAATTTCAGAAGATACTGAAATTTCAAACAAGAAAAGTATTTGAAAAGAACAGATTATGTATAACCATCATAAATTACGACGGATAAGAGTTTTGTGGATCCTGTCTAAGATCTGATAAAAGACCAGAGCCTAACTAAGGCAGGGACATATGGGGCCCCCGGCCTCATCCTCATATCAGTACAGTATAAAATCAGTCTGTTTAATGTTAGCTTTTTCATTAATCTATCGTATGAACACAATCCATCAATGTAGGATATAATTTGTAATCCATGGCTTTCTAGGGGCAAAATTCAGCTAAATTTTCGCAATTATGATGGACAAATATGGCCAATCATAAGCAGGTATTTTTACATATCGCAAAATGGGATATGTTTATAAAACTACAGGCTTCTGATTGGCCTCATCGTAATTGCGAAAATTTAGCTATATCCACACTAATTTCGGCAAGGATATGAATTTTCCGCAGATAGATGACAGAGTGAACAATCAGAAAACAGCATCCGACATGATGAACATAGAATTGTCAGAAAATCAATAAAATGGGCAGAACGATATTTCGTCAAACCATTGGGGGGGGGGGGATTTTATAGCTATTTTAGGTTCCAGTCAATTTTCTCGCTGTATATAATGAGGTGAAAAATTTAAATAACTTTATAAAGTTCGGTTCTTCATTGCTGAAATAGTGAAGAAGAGAAGGGCCCTAAAAGAAGTTTTGCTTCGGGTCCCAATTAGGCTAAGTCGGGCCCTGTAAAGTTGTGAAGTAACATCAAAAATTATAAAGGTGTAAATAATTTTAACAGTTTAAATAATTTATTTTTTCTAAATCAAATGACTCTTTCATTTAACTAGAATGAGTGTGGACGTTTTAATAGATATTAAAAACCACAGAAAACCGACATTATACATAGATCTTTATAATAGAAGGGTCACAATAATGGGGGTCGTACTAAAGAGTGTATTAATTTTTATTAAAAGTCCCTAAACTCTCACAAGAAAATTGGAAGATTCATTGTACGAGGGTTTCTTAAAATTTTTAAAAATTTTGCCTTTAAGCGAGTAAGAGGATTGGATTGAATGTAGAAGTTTTATGGCACAAGATCCAAAGGAGGATATGCTGCGCCAAACAATTTGTTGAGTTAGATCTAATGCTAAATTGCACACAATAGTTTCATTGTCATAAAATAAATGAAACTAATAAAATTGTTTATCTCAAGACACGTATTTTTTAAAGTTCATAAAAATCAATAAAAAGCATAATTCTATAAAATACACAGAAAAGGTAAAACGGTTCATGGGTAGGAAATAAGAGTGAATAAAATCAGATAAAACAGTTAGATACAATATAAAATACCAATAGCTCGCAGAAATGCGAAAATGTTAGGATGATGAATATCATCTAACAAATCCTTCATACATAAAATCGTGCTATTAAAAAAGGTAAGACGATGTTGGTTAAAACAAGGACAAATGGTTAAAATGTGATGAACCGTATGTAAAGTATTGCAAGAGTCGCATTTGGGAGAAGATTCTCCAAACAACAGATGAAGATGTGTGAGTCGAGTGTGGCCGATTCTGAGACGATTAAGCTTTACATCTGCATTACGTAAACGTAATACAGGTAAGGGGTCTATATATGGTTTGATGTTATGAAGTTTATTTTGAGTTTGAAGGTCCCAATGCTGTTGCCAAAGGGACGAGATGAGCTGTCGAACATGTAGTTTAATGTCGGAGAATGGTACAGATATTGTTAGTTCAGCAGTTGCAGATCGTGCTGCAGAATCAGCCAACTCATTCTCTGGGATACCGACGTGACTCGGTATCCAGAAAAATGAAATATCAAATCCTTTCTTGTTAAACGAGTAAGAGAGAATCTTACTCGCTTAAAGGCAAAATTTTTAATATATACACTACCGGTCAAAAGTTTGCGAAAATTTTTAAATCTACAAAAAAAAAGGTCTAAATTCAAATGTTCATAGAACTACGAAAAATCATTCAAATTGCATGAAAATTTGATATGTTCTAAAGTGAACCTTCTACAGTTAGATACATATGATCAAATTGCAATACTTCGTTTTTTGCGAACTGAATCCAGCTTTTCATCATGGGTTGTTTCTATGGTGAAAAAAGTTGTTAAGTTAGAACGCTTGCCAAACTTGCAAAAAAAAATTTTTGCACTTTCTGCTGATAGAAAATAGATATTTGAACCATTCTATGTGAGTCCTCAAAATTTCAGATCGATTTGATTTTTTTTGACGAAGTTATAGAATTTTGAAAAACATGTGTACTATTCTCGATTTTTGAGCACTCCACATATGCGGTCTTTTGGTCCATACATCTTCTACCAAAGAACTTTTTAATTTTAACGTTTTCTATATTTTCAAATAATTAATGATTATTATAAAACAAATACTCTTATTCTTTATTGTAATTATTATTGTTATATTTATTGCTCATGTGTATTAGTCTTGTTGTGATATTTTTACTTTACATTAAATTAAAATAAAAAGTTATAACAATAATTACATAAATAATTCTAAAAAATAATATCAGTAGTATAAAAAATTCGCATTTTTACTAAACTATTTTATTTACAACAGGTCAAATATATAACATATTCTTATTCGTATTTTGTAATTAAATAAATTAACATTTAAATCTTAGATTCCTCGAACCATCCACCTTTTACTTTTATTATTGCCTTACATATGCGTGGCATTCGTTCTAACAAACCATTAATCACTTTAAGTGATATAGAGTTCCATTCCTGTTGTAAAATGTCCCATAACTGATTTCTATTCGAAATATCAGAGCATCGTTTGCAAGAACAAACAAATTTTCGATGAAATGTGACATCTATGAGACATTGTTTTAATCATATTCATAATAAATTCTTTTTAATAACAATAATTACAATAATGAATAAGAATATTTGTTTTATAACCAATATTAATTATTTGAAAATATAGAAAACGTTAAAATTAAAAAGTTCTTTGGTAGAAGATGTATGGACCAAAAGACCGCATATGTGGAATGCTCAGAAATCGAGAAAAGTACACATATTTTTCAAAATTCTATAACTTCGTCAAAAAGAATCAAATCGATCTGAAATTTTGAGGGCTTACATGGAACGGTTCAAATAACTATTTTCTATCAACAGAAAGTATAAAAAAAATTTTTTGCAAGTTTGGCAAGTGTTCAAACTTATCAACTTTTTTCACCATAGAAACAACCCATGATGAAAAGCTGGATTCAGTTAGCAAAAAACAAAATATTGTAATTTTATCATATGTAACTAACTGTAGAGGGTTCACTTTAGAACATATCAAATTTTCACTCCATTTGAATGTTTTTTCGCAGTTCTGTGAACATTTGAATTTAGACCTTTTCTTTGTAGATTTAAAAATTTTCGCAAACTTTTGACCGGTAGTGTATATATATATTTTTTTTATTGTTTGGGAAAGGAAAAGGGGTACTTATATACTGTCTAGAAAATAAATTAAAAAACTGAACTGCAATTGTTCATGTATCTCACCCTTCAGAAGGAATAAAATAGTAATATTCTCCCAAGGAGAAGTTCCGAAATTAGGGAAAAAGTTTCGGAGAGAAGTTTGGAAGAATTCACTGTATGATGATTTTCTCGTTTGTAACCGAAATTGTGGCTTAATATTTTAGTCCCAAGAATGTGTTTGGGGGAGGAAAAGAGAGCTGAAATATGTTTTTAAAAACTGCAGAAAAGTTACAATTCGTAATTTTTTTTTTTACAGTTTCAGAAGGAAAATCTCACCCCCAAGCTGTTCCTGCTTTAAGGCTCTTCTCTTCTTTTGTTCCTCTAAGAAGCAAAAATAATGTTTCCTTCCTTCAAATAGAATGCCTGACCAACGCGGTTGCAGAATGAACAACTGTAGTTTCTCTATAGAAAGAACTCCCCTCTCTAAGATAAATTAACCCATTTCAAAGAGGGGAGCTTCATTCACCCCTTTCTCTCTCCAACCTGAGTCAAAACCTGTCTTAAATAATGCCCCTACTTAAAATAATTAAACCTCTTAACCATAGTAACCGCCACCACTCCAGATAAATGGCTAGGGGAGTTCTTTATGCAGACGAACTATAAGGCCGGGATAGCCTATTTGGTAGGGCACTGGGCTCATGTTCGTGGGTTCGATCCCCACCGGCCGAAGACTCCCCGTGTAGTAAATGGTGACTGATGCATGTTATATCTGTCGAGTCGCAAAGTCCTCCAAGTTCCCATAACAAATCAATACCTCTGGGGTAGTGATCTAGAAGTTTCCTTGTTTTATGGGCTAGTTCGCAACTCTAAATAGGTCGTAAACCCTAAATTGGGTCGGATGTTCAACGATGGATAGAAAATTAAAATAGTCAAATTTTCCTTTTGTGACGTAGTAAGCTGTCAACCGAGCTTAAGCCAAAACGTTAATATTTTCCTTACAATGCTGCTTCAACAGAATGTAAGCGAAAACCGGTTCCGACGTAATAGAAAAGGTTGAGCCTCTTTTTACTTCATAGATTACCTAAATAGAGAGGCAAACATAAACATTCAAGCCCAAACAATTAAGAGATTGTGAATTTAAGTAGTGAATCTGAAGTATTACCTTCAAAAAGCGAAATTTGGCTTCGACCTTAACGCAGTCAGACAGTAAATTATTACTGTAATAATTCTGCTTAATATAACAAATGTAACAAGATTTACCGATTCTGAAAAATTCTTTATAAAACTTCCTTTTGTTTAAATTTAGGTTGGATTTTATGCACTGATACAATAAAAATGGAATAAATTCCTTTACAGTTAAGTCTGATCAACTAAGAGAAGAAAAAATTGTCTTTTTATTCTTTGCTGTTTTCTCAATTCAGCTCTTTAATTTTTACTAGAAGCATGTTTAGAAATATTTTAAAAAGAAGTCAGCTCGATTTTCCCTCATTTGTTTGTTTGCTTTTTAAAAATGAAAAGAACATTTTAGATCAAAAATAATCTGCTGCACCCTCTGCCGTGCTGAAGCCGCCAATTTCAAACATTTGTCATTCATTGAACAATTGTTTGTCGAATATGTCGTTATAATCCATTCTCAATATATATATATATATAGCATTATTTTACAACTTTAAACAACGCCATATGCATGCGTAGTAAAGGGAATACATTTGTGTGCCAAAGCATCACTGGCTGCTGTCAGTGTGCGGATGGGTGACCACATGGATTAGTCTGCGTAGGGACCGAGGGTGTGCGGTATGGGTCCTCGTTAAACTGTTCTACAGTAAAGTGCTGGACTTCACGTGCAGGTCGTCGGACTACCGAAGCGAGGGGCGCTACCCCCTCTGTAGAGGATCAAAATTGTGATGGCATGTCTTCGGATCATCCTCAGGGATGTTTCCCAGACCGTCACCAATAGCCCATTGTGCAGCTCTAGTGCGACGTAAATGGAATACAACCAACCGAAAAATGAGGAAATGAAACGAAAATGGATTAATTCCATTAAACGAGACAGTTATCAAGTAACAGTTAATAGTCCAGTGAGTGTTATTTATCTTTGATATTTTAATATTCTTTTTTGCAGACTTTATAATAAGCTTTTTAATTACATAACGAAAGAAGTTCTATTTAAGAATTACAATGTTTTAGGCATTGTTAGGGAATATTAGCATATAAAACTTGCAAGCATTCTTACCTTTGCAAAACTTTCAGACGTGAAATAAAACAAATTTAAACATAATTTTTGTCTTGCTTAAATATATATAAACATATATCATTTAAGAGTTTCTTATTTAAAGAAGTGCTTTAATTATATTTTGAAAAGAAAGGAAAATTAATGACAATGTTTATTGGTACTTAATTATTCTTAGCGATCATATGAGTAAAATTTTATAAATATTCATGCTTGAAAGCAAAAAAACTCCATTGAATCATATTAATAAAAAAGGAATTTAATTCATTGTTAGCCATTTTAGCTTTTGTACATTTTAGATGAATATTAATGAAACTTTTATTCATATGTTATGAATAAATTTTGAATTTGATCCAAATTAAATGTGCTATTCTCATTTTATTCTTATTTTTAGGTCTCTAAGAGCATACTATATACGTTTTATGTAAACAAGATTTTAAAAAAATAATATATAAGTTTATACATATTTATGCATACTCATTCAAATGTATTTTATATTAAATATTAATGAGATGTATCATATTGAGTAACAGAAATAATGCTTTTATATTTTTCCTATCTTAATTTCTTTTAAAAGAAATTACGATTTAATAAAAACTTGTAGACTATTTCAAATTTAGTTCATATAAAATATTCAATATTTTCTTGTCTTTTATAGTGCTTAATTTTTTTAATTATTGCACAATTTCTTCTCTAAAATATTATACTAATAATTTTCTAGAGAAATCTCTATTTTGGGATTTTTTTTTAAACAAATTTTACAAAAAAAATTGTCATCAATAAATTTATCTGTTAGAAAAACTTAAGATTTGGAAATAATTTACTTTTTTTATATTAATCAACGAAAAATAAAAGGCATATTTATTTTTGAAGTTAATAAACACTATTTTAAAGTTTTACAATCTTAAGGATCGAAATACTTTGATAAATTATTTATAATTTATTTATTATTATTACTTTATAATTATTACTGAGCTAAATTATTTTGTCCTATTTTAATATTATATGCGTCGTTTATTTGTAAATAATTGCAGAGTTTATACTTAGATTATTTCCACTTGAAATTTAAATATAAATCATGCGATTCTGAAAGAATTCTTTAGAACCTATTTTAAAATAAAAATTTTATAAATATGTTAGTAAAATTATAATTTCTTTATTTGTCTCGTATTCGTTTAAAAGTATCATTTCTTATTTTCAAATGAAAGATTAAATCTAATGTTTGATTATATATTAGAAAATAAGAAAATATAAACTTAAATAAGGTTTATTCTTTTGATATGAAAAATAGTTATGATGAATCAAGATTTAAAATTAAAAGAAGAGAAATTTCTTATGAAATCATTTTCTATTATGAAATACACATAATATTGCTTCATAAAAAGCATTAAGAGTCCTATGGTTTGCTAACACTTACGACGATGTCGTCACAAACCTACTGAGAGGCCTTGATTCTCGATGGCTAGGGCTGAAACCTATTGAGAGGCCTTGATTCTCGGTGGTTATGGCTGAAGGCTACTGGGATGACCATAAAATTATCAGAATTGGTAAATATAAAGTATTCTTTAAGAAGGGCTGCTGATGAAGAAAAACGGAGGTCATAATCAGATTCTAGGGAAGACTATTTGGCATAAAAAATTTAGCTGGAATGGTTGACGATTTAAAAACTTCATTGGCTTCAAAATTACGTGGAAAGAATTCTTTTATTTTCCACTATGTTTTCTGTTTCAAATTACTTTTGTTTCCTTGTTCAGGTCTGGCAAGTCTTGAGAATGGATGCCTATTTTCAAACACTCAATGCATGTCGACTTCCATCCTCATAATTTTGAAGCAAGTGAAATCGGGTTTCGTAGACAACATAGTAAAAAAAAAAATTCCCCCCATCTTTGGATAAAAAAATTGTGTCCAAAATTAGGACAAAATAAGAAGAGAACATTACCCAGATAGCAAAATATGGTTTATTTTCACCCAGCAAAAACCTTTTAATGTAAACCTAAAAAGGTTTGTTATGCGGTTTACTTGTAAACCTTCGAATCTTAAAACGAGATCTATGACAATCTGCTCAATTCTACTCATATTACCCTTATCCAAAACCTTGGAAAACAACCTTCCATATAAAAACCTTAAATCGAGGTTGACTTGGGGTTTTCAAGCGTGAAAAAATCCTGGAATAAAGCTAGTCTCAAGGTAAAAATAACCTTAAATCTAGGTAAATATAAGGTTTCTTTTTGCTAAGTCTTATATGCTCCGCTAAAATCCACCTTGTCATGAAATTTTAATGGACAATGCAATTTGATCCTGTCCCTAGTGTGACGTCTCAGATGGTCAACAAAAAGGTATTTAGAGAAAGTACGCCTTTATGTTTGATTCCGTAACTTAGTGTCAATTAAGTTATAGTTGAAAGTGAAAATCCGATCCCACATTTAGAGCGTACCGAAATCGCGAGTGTATAAATGAAAATGATGGAGTCTAATGATAAAGTTACATCTGTCATATAATAAAATTACATTAAATATAGTTATAAAATCTATCGTAAAGAAAGACATAAAAAATTCATTTAGTGAATATGGAAAATAATTATGAAAATATTTGTACAAAATCTAAATTATACATGAGAAATCATCATTGAAATGATGGTTGACTTACTAAACTGTATAAAAAGCCAGAGAGACCTTGAGCTAAAATTTCTTGGATTTGTTGAAAAAATCCAAAACCTACACAGCCTAAACATGTAGCAATTTCAGCACAATAACGAACCTATAATCAATAACACAATTTAAGACACTCAAAATGTCAGAATTTTAATAATAATCTCTCCTACTCATGTATATTATCTCCCATACCTCGTTAGAGCAGAATGAGCAAAAGAGCTTTCTTAATTTTCTCAGTTTCTTAGGATGTCAGCAAATTAATAATGAAAATGCATAAAAATAAATGTAGCCAACATTTCTAATTAGTAAATGTAGTCAACATAATTCTTAATTTAGCAATCTTAGCTATTTTTTATTTTTTGTTGACTAGTGCGCAAACTATTTTACATTATAATAATAAAAAAAGGATATTAAAAAGACACTATTTTAAAAAAGAGATTTGGAAAAAATTAGAATTATTGTAGTACTCACTATTGATGTGGCATCAGTGTTACCCAGTAAAGGTTCTTTTACTAAAGGTCTTAGAAATACTGCTATGCTGAGATTCAGTAAATGTAGTAACATCAGCAATAAACGCATGTAAAAATAATGCTAAAATATATTTCTTAATATTATTATAAATGTATTTAAAAAAGTTAAAACATTATTATAAAATATTGTTTCATAAAATTTTGAATTGATAGAAACAAACTATAAAATGAAAAATTAGACTATTAAAAAAAATCCAAATAATTAGATCAAAAGTTCGGGGAATTTAAGAATGCTAATTTAAAGTTGATAAAACAATAGAGCAATATTTCAATAGATTTAATAACCGTCGTTGAACAGTCGACCCAATTTTGGGTTTACGACCACTAATGTTCATCTCCGTAGCCTTGTAATTTTGAACCCAATTTAGAAGACAAGGGAACTCCTGGATCAAGCATTGGGAGAAATTTGCCTTCGTAGAGGACTTTTTAAATGAACTAACCTGCATTTGCGTTTCACGGAGAGGAAAACCACCAAAATCTCCCACGGCTAGCCTGACGGCAAGGGGACTCTGACCCATAATTCGTCTACCACTGAGGATATTTTACGCCAGCACTGTGGCAAGTGCAAACCAGGTGCGGAATTCGTAACGACCAGTCATCACTGGGATTCGGACCTGGTTAATGTTGTTAGAAGGCGAATACTCTATCCCCTGAGCCACAATGACTTAATATTTTAATAATATAACAGTCGTTGAACAGCCAACCAAATTTGTTGGGTTTACGACTTCTAATTATCAACTCCGTAACATTGTAATTTTCAACCCAATCCAGAAGACAAGGGAACTCCTGGATCAAGTATTTGGAGAAATTTGGCCTTGGTGGAGGATTTTTTAATGGAACTAACCCGCATTTGCGTTGCATGGAGAGGAAAACCTCGCATGGTTAACCTGATGGCAAGGGGACTCTAACCCATGATCCATCTACCACTATGGGCACTTAACGCTAGCACTGTGTTTTGCGCAAGCCGGATGCGGAATTCGTATCGATCAGACATCGCTGGGATTCAAACCCGGTTCAACTCGTTGGAAGGCAAACGCTCTATTCCCTGAGCCATCACTGCTCAATATTTTAATAGAGCTGAAATTAGAGTTAAGGGAGAATGGTGTTTTTCTCAATAAATTATAGGATTTTATACGAAAATATATAGGGTTTATTCTGCCCTCCTTTTAAACAAGAGTTTGAGCGTTACCAATAGTTCTATTAAGTTAGAGTTTTAAATGATGTCTGATTTAGAAAGGTGCATTCGGTGTATATTTTAATGAATCTCGTAAGCCATAGGGCATGATAAAGATACACAGTGAATTCTTAATTGACAACAAGCAGGGGGTAACCCGATTTATTGTTGCAGGACATTTGATGGAGTTGATAAAACATTTTTAACTTTTTATATGATGTACGCGAGGTCAGTAAAATATGTTCAATTTTAAAAATAAGATAAGATTTTTAATTAAGAAAATGATAATTACATCTCGGAATAAAAAAAAAATTATAATATAATAAAATAATTAAATTTATCAATTAAAAATAAATGTATAATTAAGAAAATAATTAGTTAAAAAAATATCAACACTGTAATACATATGAAAGAGATGAAATTCAAAATAACTCTTCTGTGATAGTACGACAAAATATGAGTTGTCACATGCTAAAAAATCATCTTCGAAGGTCACACCTTCTTTCGGCTCGTCAACAACAGTATTTCTGAACAGTATTCCACAATCCAGTACTGTCTATTCCTATCTACTGCCCTAAATCATATTATCGAGATGATCTTTTCTTTATATATATATATATATNCGATATATATATATATATATATATATATGTGTGTGTGTGTGTGTGTGTGATATAACCGTCGTTGAACAGCCTACCCAATTTTTTGGGTTTACGACTACTAATATTCAACTTCGTAGCCTTGTAATTTTAAACTCAATCCAGAAGACGAGGGAACTCCTGGATCAAGTGTTGGGAGAAATTTGCCTTCGTGGAGGACTTCTTGATGGAACTAATCCTCATTTGCGTTACATGAAGAGGGAGACCACGAGGACATTCCACGGTTAGCCTGACGGTAAAGAGACTCTATGATCCATCTACCACTGAGGACATTTCACATCAGCACTGTGGTTGGTGCAAGCCGGATGCGGATTCGTTTCGGACAGCCATCGCTGGGGATTCGAACCCGGTTCACCTCATTAGAAGGCGAACGCTCTATCCCCTGAGCCATCGCGGCTCTTATTGAAATGATCTTGAAGAAGATTACTCCATTCAGCAAGCAATGGACTCCGAAGCTCCAATACACATGCAGGAAGTGGTTGAGGGGCTGCAACTCGTCAGCCAACATGTCCCTCACATGCTCAATAGAATTCAAGTCGGGTGAGAATGGTCATTCTATAGGGCAATTACTCAGATTAAAGGCATTCGTTTGCAATGATTGATCAGTGAGAACAGGTATTGACACCCATAAACATAAATTCTGCTCCCAATGCAGTTCTAAACAAATGGTTATGTTTTTCCAGAATGATGTCTTGATAAATTTGGCCTGTCGTGACTCCAATTTGAACTTGCAGATCTGTTCTGGAACCCGGTATAATTCCACCCCAAACGAGCAATCCTTCAGTCCTGTAACAGTGTTGTTAAATGTTGTCCTCTTTGTTAGTAACGTTTATCCGGCGTTCTCTTTATGAAAGTCCGATGTAAATCAGACTACAAGGTAAACATAGAAACGTCGGAAAACATCACAGAAGCCTACTGTAACGATATCCACATTGCATATTCTCTACTCCATGCAAATAGCCATAGCCAATGCCATGAGCGGTACACATCTGACAGGTCTGCAAGCATATAGAGCAAAATTTCCCAAACGTCAGTAAACGGTGTGTCTTGAAACTAGGTACTCGTGGCTGAAGTTAGCTGATGTGACAGATGGAATGCTGTGCTCCGTCTCTTTTTTCTTTCTTTTTTTGGCAGTTACTGCCAAACAGTGGTCTCATTCAACGTCGTAACTTGGGAACGATCTGCACTGTAACGTGTACTGACATTTACATCATCTTGGAATTGTTGCCAAGCTTAAAGAAGACACTTTAGGCAATTCCAAGCTCCTCGGATATTTCCATTTGAGTACAACCACATTCCAAGCAGTTGATAATACCACGTAATATATCGTCGATAATACCCCGTAAAAAATCATCCACATGCGTCTGAGTCATAATTATTCGACTATGACACTGAGAGGCTTACAGAACACTAATGAACAATTTTACATTTTTACTATCATTCCCCTCTCTTACACTCTCGTCACTGGGACGTACATCTCGGCTTCATTTGGTGGCTTCCTGTAATATATATATATATATATATATTGTTGAACCTGTTTATCTCGAAAACTTCAAAATTTTTAAAATTCCCTACATTTTCAGTCTAAAATAATCAATGTATTTTCCAAATCACTGTATTTTCCATGTTTATGACGAATTTTTTTTTTCAAAACCTCAGTTTCTCAAATTTCTAATAGTAGAGCACAAATGTCGAAACTTTCTTTATCAGTAGAACTTGCAGACAAAGATGAATTTCGTGAACTCACAAGAAGTAGGTTGGGAGTGTTTCTTGGAATTTCAATCACTATTCCTGCACTTCCTTAACTAGAAAGGAGAATGATTCTGGCAGTAAGTGAGGGGTTAATGAGTAGTGACCACCTGGGGTTAACTTTTCAACTCTAACTGACTCAACTGGGGTTAACTTCTCTCTCTTCAAAGCTAAGAATAGAAATTCATTTTCACCTCAAAATTGCAACCAATGGATCAAAGAACAATTAAGAGTTTTAAAGTGAACTATAGAAAACCGTTGGTACGCAAACTTGCAGATCTCATCGATGAAAGAAGTTCTCTTCCAAGAATAAAGATGTTAGATCCTATCGGAATTACTATTTTTCCCGGAGAAATGAGTCTAAAAACTATCCAAAATGGTTTTAAAAAGCTGATTTTAAGATTAACTGTGAAGATGATGAACAGGAGGGTGAAGGCGTCAGTAAAGAAGAAGAAACAGTTGATGCTGAAAATGCAGTACCAGGTTTGCAAGAATAGAATGCAATAAAATCTGGACTTAATGTTGACATTGATTTTGAAGATTTTCACAAGTGGACAACTGCCTGGCAACATGCGGAACATTGACACATAGATATCATAGAATCATAGATAATGTCGAAGGACTATCAGATGAGGAGGAAGAACTTGAAGATCATATTGATGAACCAAAAGTGAATGCAAAAGAGGAGCGAATACAATCCACATGACTGGAGGAAGCTTTTTTTTATTTTAATTGTTTGTAAAATCTACAATTGAGTTGTTTATTGTTATCATTAAAGTTAAGTAGTAAAAAAAAATTTTTTGATAATGGAATGGTAGTTTTTTCAGAAAAAGTATCGCAATCATTGAAAGATTATGAGTTGAATTTACCCGAACAATTTGGTTAAAATTCAAATGCTAAAAATTATATTCATATGTAAGTAACTTGTTCATGCAGCTCCAATCAAAATATGATTAAAAATATATTTAAAAAAAATAGAAAATGAAAGGGACATTAATTTGATAAGAACAACTAGTTTAATTTTATTCGAATGAATGATGGTGCGTAAAAATGAGTGTTGTTGAAAAATATTCTTACTTGTGCAAACGTCTTCCATTTTTCTTCTAGCAACCTCTGAATTACGCCACCTTCTAACATATCTAAATGTTCCGTTGAATTTCCTTTCAGAATAATCATTAATGCAGAATTTATATCTTAAAACAAAGAAATGTACCATAAAAATGTAATAGGAATCAAATATACGAATAATATACGAGCTTCAATTTTTATTCCAAATTGTAGTTACAATCACAGTCTGTGTTTGATATGACAACCTTCGTGGTCTGAGCGGCATTATAACGTGAGGTCATTATATAAAGAGTTCATAAAAACACCGTAAATATTCCTTCAAAGTAAAAAAAAGAAAAATGCTTGATCATTTTTAACAAAGCAATGCTTCACTTTAATAAGAATTTGGTAACTAACTGAAAAATTGGTAATAACAATATTATATTAATATAAACGTAAAAGTACTATTTAAAATAAAAAGGTTTAAGGCTGCCATTTTCGATAAATAACATACCTCAAGATAAGTGCGAATGCCACATGTTTCATATCGAAAATAAACCACACTGACATTTCACAAAAGGAATGAATACATTTTTTAAACAAGAAAAGTATGGTTGACAAATTTAGTGTATTCTTTGAAAAGAAAGTTTAATAGATTATGAATGAGCAGAAATTGACCGAAATGACTTAGGATAAGAATTTAGCGGTCAATCTTCCTTCCTTGTTGGTAACAAAGGAAGTAATGGTATAAATAATTTTTCTTGTGAATTAATGAACTCTTTCTAAATCAAATTACTAAATTTTGATTGGAATGAGCAGTTCCGAGCCAATATTCGAATGGATTTAAAAATAACATTGCGTCTATGGTTTAGCAAACGGGACTTTAGCACATAATTCCTTATAATGGAAATGGAGCGCGTCTATGTAATGGGGGCCGTACTAAAGAGAGCAGACGACTATCCCTCATTTATATATAAAGAAAGAAAAAGTTACTTTCACGTTGAATTCTTTCTAAATTGCTGCGAAAAGAAAATTTGGTTTGATGAAATGGTTATTTTCATATTTATTAAGAGTCACTTTGCCTTGATTTTGTTGATATTTTCACGATATTGAAAACTATTAAACCTGTTTTTTTGATGGGGGAAAGGCACAACATTCAAGGTTATGTGGTAGCAAAATACATCAATTTACATATTCCAAGAGTGAATAAAGTCGTTCATAATTAATTTTACTAATTCTACACTAACTATTAAATAAATAATGCTTAGAAACTGAAGCAGAAAGATATACTAAATGATAAATATTTCATAGGTTTTAAAAATATGAAGATTGTAATAAAGGTCAATATGTTTCAAGAGACCTCAAATAGGCACCTATTCTCAAGTTTCGCTAGACGTAAATGAGGAAAGTGATAAAAAATAGAAAATGCACAGTAGCCATCGAAATAAAAGTGAAAAACAAAATTAAAAAATAAATGAAGGCAAAATAAACAAAACTAGAAAAAATGCAATGGCCAAGTACACTCGAACATCAATACTTATATCGTTGGTGCAAAATGTCATTTAAAATTCTACAAAATAAGGCTTTTTTGTTAAACCTGGACAGCCAAAATCTACTTGGGCCAACAGTTAAAAACAAATTATCTACTTTTGTCGTTCTATAAATTTGTTCATCAATTGTTTTTAATTTGATTATCAACGCCGTTTAAGATTAGTTCTTGAGATGAAAATTGTTTTAAAATAGTGCATAGTTTGGTGCTGAAATAAAGGCAACAGAAAAGCAAACGTTGCTCACTCTTAAAATGACTTCTCTTAACTGGAAATTCTATGCATGGATATATTTTTCTAAAAGATTTTTAATGTAGTGAACCATTGTTTATAGTGGACTTATTCCTGGGTTCACTATGAATCTAATTTTAAAATCTTTTGGTTTCGTGACTTATAGTAGACTTTAAAGAAACAAANAAAAGCTAAAAATTCACCACTTACATTTTTTTTAAGTGCTATTAAATTAACTAAAGCAAAAATATATTACGTGGCTCAAAAGTTTGAAGTATTTACTTTAGTTTTCTCTTAATACAAATCTGAATACCGCGTTATCTTATGCTTCACTAGCCCCTCAGAGGATGACGTCACAAATCTACTGAGAGGCCTTGACTCTCGGTGGCTATGCTCTAACCCATGGTCCGTCTAACCACTGAGGATATTTCACGTCAGCACTGTGGTCGGTGCAAGCCGGATACGGAATTCGTATCGAGCAGCTATCGCCGGGATTCGAACCCGGTTCATCTCATTGGAAGGCGAACGCTCTATCCCCTGAGCCATCGCGGCTCACTGAACTGTCATTTTGAAGAACTGGGGGTTCAATCCTCAGTGGCGGTTTTAAGCCAGCTTCAGATCAATGAATATCAGCTTGTCTGGGAAGTAAAAATGGCCTATGCGTGGAGCTGAGCACTTAGCCACAATCATGCAGTTGGTCAATTGTGGAGCCTTAACCTCCATAGGTCCCCCTTTTTCACAACGGGGTGTTGCAGGAATGCTTTACTTTACAAACGCTTAATAGAAAAATTAACAACGATTAATCAATTATTTTGTAAAAGTAATTGAAACAAAGTCAAACTTTTGTCGTTTTTAGCATTTTAATAACTAGTTTACCAGCAAAGTATAAAATGCAGTGATTTTCGTAGAAAAATGTATGTAGTTCCAGAATTTTTGTCAACGCAGTGCAACGAATCATTATTGAGGAAGGCGTGACTGGAAACATAAGAGCCTGAATGATTGCCAAAGGAACGTCGAAAGGCGATAAAATTTAACTCGACAGTGTTACTGATTCAAATATTTTTATATACTTACTAGTGATTAGACAGATTTCGATAGTTTTTTTTTCTTTGGCTAAACTATAACCTTGCAACCTCTATTATACAAGGACTCTGAAAGTATACATTGGGGGCCTTCATTACGGAATACCATGCCAACCAGAAAAGTATTAATATGAACAAAAATGTGTACATGTTACCGGCAACGTAAAAATTTAGACAGTCTAGGCGATGTATAAAATGATTATTGAAAATATCGAGACAAAATATTAATAATTTTATACTTTACTACAGAAAAAGTGCCTGAATTCAAAATTTACTTGTGTAACTTTTTTCCCAGTTGGAGTTAAATGAATAAGTTTTTTACCCCTGAATGGCTTTTCTTGAAAATTTTTCATAATTTGATTTAAATTAAAATAATCAAAACTAATCAAGCAGATGAAAGTTGAAATAAAATATGAGAAACATATCACGTATTTCATTTATCAGAAAAAAACAGCATTGTAAAATAAATATTCCTCATTACTTTTTACATACAAATTAGCAATAAATATGCCTTATTATCTCCGAGATATTCATTCCTTAAATAAACACGTATTTAGAATACTTATGCTATTCACCTCTAATGAGTTCACCAGTAATCGAATTAATGAGAAGTAAATAAAAGCAGGCTGAATTTGCTGAGCAAGCCAAGTCTGTCCCTGTTTATACACTCCCAATTTTCTTCCGACAACAATCCAGCGACTGAAAATGGTGTTGATGAACGAGTGAGATTGATTGCCGCATGAACTCCTAAACTGAAACCATCGCAATACAGCAAGAATTAAAGGCATGTTTATCTGTAGATTTAAAAAAAAAGCCATACCACCTTTTTTGTTCGTAACTGTAAATCCTGTTTCAAACTTTTTGACTCTGAAGGTTGTGACATGGGATCGTGTTGTAGAATTTTTATTATAAGTTACCCATGAAAGAAATAATAAAAAAAATCTAAGTGGAAATATATGCTTAGTAATATGAAAACTTTATTTGCTTCATAAATTATAAAGGTGGACAAAGTCGCCTAGAGCGCTAAAAGATAGGTACCCATTCTCAAGACACGCCCGATGTGAATGAGGAAAACAGAAAGTGTAAATTTGCTAACAAAAAATGAAAAATAAAGTTAAAAATAAAATTAGATGAAACCACAGTTTTAAAGATATTTTAATTAAAATAAAATAATTCTTTCTACCCCTGTCACATCAGCTCATTCTGATGTTCTGATAATTTGTTTCATTTATGACGATTCCCATGCTAATGACATGAGTTCCTTTCCATTCTGTCCTGATTTGCCCTGGTTTTATTTTCACCTTTATTTACGTTTCATTCCTATTTTTCGTTGGCTATTTCTGTTCTATTTTCGTTCGATTTCTGTTTTACATCTTTTTTTTTCCCTCATTAACGTCTGGCAAGCTTCGAGAATTGGAACATTTTCCTTCTATATAATTTATGAATAAAATTAAGTTATTATAATATCAACCAACGTTTATACCAGTAGTTCTACAGACCAACCCAAGTCAAAATTTTTGATGGTTTTTCATTGATGGACCATCATAATCTTGATGGTAACCATCATTAATTCCATCATGAACCATTACTTTTTTTGATGGTAACCAATATAAGTAACCATCATCCCTACGCTATTTTAATACTATGATGGTTAACCATCAAGAGAAGTTTGATTCTCATGGACCAACAATCCATGAGAATACATGCGGTTCCAATTATTCCTTTCAATGATGGTTTAATGAGAATTTTTATTGTCTACCAGGAATATACCATCAAAACAATTTGTTTGTTTTTTATGTTGGACCATCATAAATCAGTTCTGCAGACGATCCCAAGTCAAAAGTTTTGATGGTTTTCCATTGATGGGCCATCAGACTCTTGATGGCAACCATCAATCATTCCATCATGAACCATTATATCTTTTGATGGTAACCAATATAAGTAACCATCACCCCAATGAGAAAATTCGGACTGATTTATGATGGTCAAAACATAAAAAACAAACAAATTGTTTTGATGGTGTACCTGGTTGCCAACAAAAATTTCCATTAAACCATCATTGAAATGTATAATTGTAACCGTCACGGATCATCATGGTCCATGAGAATTAAACTTCTCTTGATGATTAACCATCATTGTCTTAAAGTATTATTTTCCATCATGGAATGATAGAAGTTTGTTGGCATATCGAAAACCATGAAAGCAAAACAGAAAATACTAGATGATGGAGACCATCAAATGATGTTGGACCGTCATGAAACCAACATAAACCATCCAAAATTTTGACTTAGGAAATCTTCTCGTAATTTCAAATGTACTTTTTAGAGAAAGCATGTATTAGAAGTATGTAAATACCTCTATATCTTAATCAATAAAAACAAAATAAAGAAATGTTCTTACCAAGGAGCTAAATTCTAACATTTCACGAAAAATGGTGTTCCGCCCTAGCTTACAAGCCAAAGTTAAAGGTGTCAAACCGAAATTGTTGCATAAACGATCTGAAGCTGGTTTAATTGGGTGGCGAAGAGCATATCCGTACATTTTCTGCAAAAGAATTTATCAATTCACATATCGTAACAAATATAATTTACACCACATCATAATTTACACATTTACACCACATCAAAATTACTAACAAAGGTAAAATACAATGCAGCTTATTTATATTTTGTCGGAAATACCGGACATAAAATACATTTATGTAAGAAATTAAGAGAGTTTGCAGACTTGGTCGATTATCTCTGGAACTACTGGACCGATTTTAATGAAATTTGATCTGTACAAACATTGATACAATACAAAACAAATAACCATTCAACAATTCACACGTTGACGCAGGACAATTCAGGCCAATTGCTACAGGAAATGATAAACTGCCTTATTTTAAGTATGCATATCATTTCCTGTGGCAATTGGCCTGAATTGTCCTGCGTCAATTTCATACCTTCCGACTCCAACGAGGGTTACGCACGATCATGCGTGTGAATTGTTGAATGGTTATTTGTTTTGTATTGTATCAATGTTTGTACATATCAAATTTCATTAAAATCGGCCCAGTAGTTCCAGAGATAATCGACCAAGTCTGCAAATTCTCTTAATTTCTTATACTAGTGTAGAATAGGTAAAGGAAACTCTTGGAATCAGAGCTTGAACTGTATTTGCGCTTAACTTGTGATTGCGCTTAGTACTTACTAATGCCATCTGTAATTACTGTATATATTTATCTTATATATATTTTGCAATTACATGCCCTTATGTAACATAGAAAGATATAACAAAACTTCTTTGGGAAACAAAAATTACTTCCTTACAATACAAGAATTACAGGCCGGGATAGCCTGGTTGGTAGGGCGCTGGTTCCATGTCCGAGAGTTCGAGTTGCAAAGTCCTCCATATTCCCATAATAAATCAATACCTCTGTACAGGATTGGAGATCGATCGTTCTCTGATCGAGGTCAAAAATTACGATCTCTGCATGAATGAATGGGTCCGCCCTATAAACGGGTGTGACGTGTGTCTGGGTGAAGACGAATTCTTGGCAGTAGATGGCGCCACTGAGAAACAAAAAACGCACCCTCTTCCTTAAATTTGCTCGGTTTCTCCAAGCAGGCTTGCTAAAGTGGCAAGTGGCATTAGAAACAACAACAATAAGAATTACCAACTCATTCACCTGACTCGAGTGGATTCCTTTTTATTTAGAGACCTCTTAAAAACACTTGGATTGGGGGAAATTGAAGAAATTTTGTGACAGCTCTACATTAACCCCTTCATGACCGTGATCGCATGATTATCCCTTCACGGTCCAAGATGAAAAAGGGCCTTTCTGACTCTAGTGGCCCAAGATCACATGGATGTGATCTCAAAACGGTACTCTCTTATCACATCTCTTATAGATACGTATACGTAGAGAGTCTGAATTAAAAGAGTACTGACAACAGGTTAGGGAGTTAAGGGAGGTTGCCGTACTCTACAATGGACAATTACAGTCAATTTTTTTAATGCATTCAGAATCCCTTAAAACTGCCAGAAAACATTTTAGTACATTTCAAAGAATGCTATTTATTAAGTTATTTTTAAGCTAAAAACGCTTACTTTCCTTTTCACTTGAAACGGGGAGTCACGTGATTATTTACGAACTGACGTCGCACGTGTCGTTCATTTACAATCGCTGAGCCATGAAAGTCAATACGTTCTTGCTTTCATTTGAATTTTCGTAATTAAATCCAACTATTATGGAAGGTCAATAACTAGGCGTATAATAAATTGTGCCCTATTGTACTTTAATGAAAATGTGGGTTTAATGTAACGTATTTTTATAATGATAAACTTCAATGGTACCCACTTAAACATTGCTAATAGTTGCATTTTCTATTACTATGAAGTTTCTGAAATTATACTGTTGTATTCTGAATGTTCTGAACGTCGTAAAAAGACGCAAAAGAAAAAAATCGTACTTTAAAAATTCAATTTCTTAAGAACTATTCACTAAAATTTTCTATTTCACCATGTAAAGTGACTTTCTTTAAAATGATGGGAAAAAATTATGTAACTTACAATTCAAAATTTCTTCGATTCAAAATTTTATCAAATAAAATAATAAAAAGTGATAAACATTTGTTAAAGGTTAATTTTTGCATGGAATTATCTTTGGATAAAGGAATTTTATAGTTGTATGCGAAAAAGTTTCAATTCGCTTAAAAAGTTCTCGGGGTGTGATGAAATACGCAAAAAATAAAAATAACATTAACGGGTCCAGAATTTGGGTCGCTTTCTTCACCAAACTATTGGGAACATATTTCTCAGATTGCGGCTACCCCCTATATTTTTGGGTAAAAAAAGATATGTTTAATCAGAGAAGGTATGTTTTTGCACATTATTTTCTACATTAAAATATTCTCCTCACTAATTAATTAGCATATCTGAGGTCACATCTTCGAACAATTTAAATTGAGTCACAGAACGGGAAGATTCGATCATTAGATCAAAAGTTATAGTGAGTGGTCCGCTTTTTTTTTCTTTTTGTGCACTCTACTTTTTAGTAAATATAACTCGGAGCATGCGGGGAAGTGATTTCTTCCGCTCGACCTGAAGGGATTTCTACAGTCACTTCGAAATATGGATAGTTAACTGAATGTAAGCAATAACTTCCTAAATCCGGAAGGAATTTAGAAGATTTCCGGTTTATCCCTCCGCTTTGGTTACGCTTACGAGGCTATGTGTGAACAAGCTTAATGTTCTAGGAAGTTTTATTATTGTGGTTTAAATTTATCGAAATTTTACCATTCCTAAGAGTTTTCTGAGTTCTTTATACATTCTAACAGGCCATGAGCATAAAACAAATAAATATCACAGCATAAATAAAGTGGAAGGTTAGCCATGTTTTGAAAGTTATCCATTAATTAGCTATAAGAGTGTAAAATAGCACCCTTTGTTATTTTTTGGGTAGCATAACAAGTCTTCTAAATTTATTAGTTGCTTGTTTCGTTGAAAGTTAGATTTAAAAAAAAAGTGTTAGATCACTACAAGTATAATAATATTGGAGAGTGCGTTTTTTTTCTTCAAGTTTAGGCATGAAAATCAGTCGGAAGTTGTAACCCGGAAGTCGACGAATTTTAACCTCTAGCGCCACCTGCGCTTAACTTTACATGGTCAACCATCCATAGTAATGGCCTTTTTGTAAAGTACACTGTTAAAATTTTCATTCTAAAATTGTGGTAAAATATCTCGCAGCTGTTTGTCCATCCGATTAACCGTAAATTTTACGATAAAGAACATTTTTTTCCTTTATGGTTTTTTAACCATTTGAAACTAGCATTTTTCAAAAACGTAATTTTTTTTTTTTATAACTAGACATAGGAGTTCGGCTTTTCGTAAGGTAATAGGCATTGGAGAGTGCCGGACACTGGAAATTCTTCAGGCGTTGAAGGGAATGGAGGAAATAGTGTGGTGTCAGCACTTGAACTCCAGTTCTATCGGTCATGAAATTGAAAGGCAAGTCCGCTCGGCTATGATATGTACGCAGTTGCAAAGAACTAAGTAGGGGGTTTTAGTTAGTGCGATAAAGTTCTGGTTGTTTAACTGTATAAGGTGAAAGCAGTTAAGAAACAGTTTTTCACTAATTTAACAGTTTGATTACCATTTTATTTACGGTTATTTGGCTGTTTTGATTAAATATGGGAAAATAACCATTCAATAAATTGCTATTTAACCATTTTTTCTTCGAAATTTCTAACAATGTACTATTTAGTTGTGTTTTTTATAATCATTAAAATTATTGTGTTATTTTTCCATCTCCCTATAAGCAAAGATATTACTTACTAGTTTATCACGAATTACTAGAACATGCAATATGTTATTGCCATATGTGTCCTGTAAGTTTGGATCAGCTCCATGCTTCACTAGTAAGTTATAGCTGGATTCATCATCACAGCAAGCTGCCCAAGCAAGTGGATATTCTCCAAAATAACTTAAACCTGAAAATAATTTCCATGCTTAACATAAAAATAATTATAATTTTCATTCCATGTATTCCCCAGTTCAAAATAAAAAAAGTGAACTTTTAATCTAATGAGTGGATTTTCCCATACTAGAGCTGTATCTTAATAGCCTAACCTTAAACATGCTAATTAGTTGGTCACATGATATTTTGATATTATTATTAGACGCACTATAAAATTTTACGTAAAATTATAATTATCAGGTGATTCTATACCGCTGTATTGTTTTCACTTGGATGAAACCGGTTTGCATTTCTTTACGCTCCTGTATCAATTGGTTTACATTGTAATGCAATACGTTAAAAATAAATACAAATAGGAAGTATATAAAAGAAAATTCCTGAATAAAAACCCATTAAATGTTTGTTTAAATATAAAAGTATTGCATATAAACTCGTGCAAATCATGTAATTATTAAAAAACTACAGTGCGTCTAATAATTTGATCTAATTAGTATAATATACTAATATAATGCTTGATATAATAAATATTCTATAATTTTATAATACTGTATCGTCTAATTTGACGCCCGGTGGCTGAGTGGTAGCACTTCGCACTCCCGTGCCACAGGTCTTGGGTTTGATCCTCGGGCCGGGCAAGGTTGACTCAGCCTTTCATCCCTTCAGTGGGTCTATAAATGAGTACCAAGTATGCTTGGGAACTAAACACTAGGGGTTCCACGTTCGGCTGACCACCTGACCTGCACATCTGCTCCAGCACCCCAGAGCCCAAGGTAAAGAAAACTGAGATGGGCACAGTAGGCCCTGGCCCTCTATGGGCTGTCGCGCCACTTAGTTTAGGAGTAATATCGTCTACTTTATCCTATAGTCAAATTTATATTACACATCGTCCAATTTAACCAATTGATGCACTAACGTAAACAAGTGCAAACCGGTTTCAGTCACATAGTATCACCTGATAATTAAGATTTTACATAGAATCTTATAGCGTGTCTAATAATTTGACCAGAGACTGTAGTTCCAATAGTTTAGTCAAGACAGTGGTTGAAAGTGAAGACCTCTTACTATTAATTTCATTTTTAGCGCATTTCGTCGTGTCTCTGAAATTAATAAAGATAATAAAAATGCACACAATTACAAAATTTGTTAATAGATAGATAAGTTAACGCAAAAAAATTAGTTTTTATGATCATTTATTATTTTTATCATTTAATTCACCAATGGACAAAAAATCTTTGAAATAATGCGGATAAATACTTTTACATCAACTTAATTTACGTAATTTTAAGGGCCAAAATTGAATAGAATTGGTTGGACAGTTTTTGTGAAATAAAAATGTGAAAATATAACTCTTTAAGACCTAGAAATGCGCAGAAAGTGAAATTAACATTAAGGGGTCCACACTTTCAATTGCTCTAAGACTTAAAGTATTCGGATCTTATTTTCCAAATTGCGGAACCCCCTTTTATATTTAAGGGCCCAAAATCGTTGATAAAATTTATCTTTAATCGAAGAAAGTGCGTTTTTATACCTGATTTCGAAACTTAAAATATTGTCTGTGCCAATTAATTTGTATGTTTAATGTTAACCCCTCGAACCAATAAGAACAACTCAAGTACGTGAAAATCTAATCATTATATCAGTAAAATACTAAGGTTCGCTTTTTATTTTACGCAAAAAATAAAAAACGGCAATACTTTTGATCTCATATTAAAAGCAATCTTGTTCCATTATTCTGATTAGAGTAGGCAATCAAGTTAAAGTTACAGTATATATTTCAGAAAAAAACTCAATTTTTTTCCCAGCCGAATTCCTCCTTCTTTAAAATATGGGAGGTTAGAGAAGTGAATTTTTTTTTGTAACCGTAATCGAGCAGCAAGCCCATTTTTTCGTTTACTACTATCACTGTTCAACTCCTTAGCCGTGTCATTTTAAACCCAACCCAGAAGACAAAGGATCTCCTAAATCAAATATTCGGACAAACTAACTCACGCTCATTTTAAGGAACTTTGGATATCGTCAGTAAATTGTTTAAAATCAAATACGAAATTGTCTGAGTTTGCTGTTGTTTTACCACTGCTGAAGAAACAAAAGCTCCCGTTACAAAATGCAATTACATTTTTAATTGTATAATAAGGATAATTATTAGTGTGTTTGTGTTGCGGAGTACTAAAATGGTGGCAGCTACTTTACACCATGTAAAAAAACATTCATGGTATTTCAGGAACTATCCTTGGTTCTTGGAAACACCAAGAATCAAGAGTTTTCTGTGGTGTTTCACTACACCAATTTAGTGTAAAGTAGTTGCCACCATTTTTAATGGTGACATACACTAAAATTTTTCACAGTGTAGTTAGAGTATCCAAAACAATAAATATTAATTGAATCAGATTTTACAAATTAAAAAAAGGCAATTGATACCTTCAAAATTAGTTTTAGCTCTAGGTATAGGCCATTGTTGATCTATTGGCAAAAAAAATTTTCCTCTGGCTCTCTCGTGAATATTTCCACCAATCTCAACCAATCTTTTCATTAACTTGGAGTTTTCATACGCTATTGCAAAATGAACTGCAGTTGCTCCTAATGAAAAACAAATTAGTATATAATTATTTTTGCAAAAATCATACAATCTAATTAACCGTGTAGTTTGCGGTTAGGAACATTCTTTACGTGTATTGGTTTGAATCGAATTACAACTGGTATGGCTAAAAAACCACGAATACAAAACTATACGATTTTGTAACCACTTACAACTAGCGTAGCTACAAAACCATATAAATGAAAAATAAACATTAGAGTAAGGTTGGGTTAGGCTTTTCGTTTAGGTAATGGACATTGAAATTAGGTTGAGTTATATTTTGTCAAACAATCAGTGGAATGTGCCTTAATTAGTTACCTAATGGTGGCATCTCTCATGAGAAATTCTATACTTTTTTTGTGTTGAGTAGCTCTGTGGCGCTGCCATCTATACGTCAATGAGAGTTTCGTATTCCAACATCACAGGGTTACCAATCCCAGAAAGCATGTAACGTTACGGCAACCTTGAGTCAAAATCTTCCATCATTGTCACGAAACTGTTTGCGCTAAAAACCTTTTTTTAAATAAAGCAAAAATATTGCAGTTTCAAACCTTTCATTCTAAAAGGGTTAAAAATTATTTTTAAAACCTNATTGGATTTTTTGTTAGTTAAAAATAGTTAAGTAAAAAATGTTACAATTGACCCCACTCTCCCCTACTTTTTTTTATGTTGAGTAGCTCTGTGGTGCTGCCATCTATACGTCAATGAGAGTTCCATCAGCCCAGGGTTACCAATCCCAGAAAGCATGTAACCTTACGGCAACCTTGAGTCAAAATCTTCCATTCATTGTCACGAAAATGTTTGCGCTAAAAACCTTCTTTTAAATAAAGCAAAAATGTTGCAGTTTCAAACCTTTCATTCTAAAAGGGTTAAAAATTATTTTTAAAACCTTTTCTAAAAAGTATTGTCACCTACGTAAAATGGTCACTTAGGTCCATCATGATGCTTTAGCTGACGTCACACTAGTGATTGGATCAAATTGCATTGTCCATTAAAATTTCATGACAAGGTGGATTTTAGCTGAACATACAAGAAAGAAACCTTATAATTGTCTAGATTTAAGATTATTTTCACCTTAAGACTAGCTTTTTTCACGGTTTCTTATTGCGCTTGAAAACCTTAAGACAACTTCGATTTAAGGATTTTATATCGAAGGTTGTTTTCCAAGGTTTTGGATTAGGGTAATGTGCGTAGAATAGACAGATGGTCACAGATCTCGTTTTAAGGTTAGAAGGTTTACACGTAAACCGTATATACAACCTTTTTAAGTTTACATTAAAAGGTTTTAACTGAGTGAAAATAAACCTTATTTTGCTATCTGGGAATGGAGGAGTGAAGAACACTAGAAGCTCCTGTATTGAAGGAATGGATAGAAAAATGTGACGTCAGCGCTGGGATTCAAATCCCCATTCAACCTCTCTCGGCTGCAGAAAATTCTCAGAACCTAATTTTTCTTCAGAACACAGTTTGTTTTGATTTGAAATTTCCCCCAGGATTATAGGGCTCTTTTTTTAAATTATAATAACTTCTATGAAATATTTTTACGAAATGAAATTTGTATATTGTTAAAATTCGATAATTATTTCATTAACAAATAAAAAATATTAAAAAAAATATAGATTTTATACAATTTTTTGATAAGATACCAAATGTGCTAAAAATAACAGAAATCAAAATAGATTAAAATGGTTATAGTTTAGAAAACTATAAATTTAAGATCCGACCCATTAACTTAAAGAAGTCCAACTAGTAAACTAATTGACTTACAGTTAGTTATTTTTGTGTTCTAACACATTTTTTTTTACAGTAAAGGATTGTATAGTAAATATTTTTATTGTTTATCAGACGACCAAAAATTTCCCCAGGGCTGTCGGACTTTTGCCCGATCCTTGTTCGCACGATACTTTCCTGGGTATGTATATACCCATCAGCTGAAAGGAACCAAGAGGCTTCATTCATCACACACTTATAAGATTATTAGGCATCCCTTGTTGTATCTGATGATGTAAAATAAAAATATGAATTAGTAATCCTTATCTCATCGTTTAACTTCTAGCTTTCGAGGCAGTTGATTCTCATTCGCTGTGCTGACTAGTTGACGCGAATAAAATCCTGACTGTTAACCTGTATTGCAAGGAAACAGTCAATAAACAATTTTATTCACTGTTAACAGCAGGAATAGGGTTAACTAACCAGTGAGGGAAACACTTAAGCTTCACTTGCCTTTTAAAAAATCATAATAATTTTGAAATTCGTAATTTTAGTTAAATGACAGTGTCAACATATTCGTTACTAATTGCAAATTATGTAAAAAGAATTGTGGAGAACTTACATAATATTGTTTTAAAGCTTTGGAGGTTCAAATAACAAGTAGTAAGGAGACCAAATGAAGGAACAGTTCTTACCAGTGAATGAACACAAAATTTCCCAGTAAAGAAGCACTTAAGTTTGGTTATTTTTTAAAGCTCTTTATGAATTTATATGCCATACAAATATCTAAAAATAAGACTATTCCTGAAATTATAACATACAAATGCTTGGAAAATGTTAAAAAAATTTTGTAATCATGCATTGGAAATTAAAGTGTCAACATATTAACACATACTGTTTTAATTTAGATATTCAAACAAACATTAAAGCAGGGAAAAAAAATAAAATAGAATATATGTGTGTTTGTAAGACAGCACTTCTTCAGGGGACACACTGTCTAGAAACACGCAGGAACCTTTCTGTTGTCAGTGGAAAAACCAAAACTGACAGTGCCCCGAGGCCCCATAATAGATAGACAAATAAGGAAATTATTACCAAAATTGAAAAGCACTGAAAAATAATGAACCAGCAAACACAAAGTAAGACTTAAAAACGAAACGCCTACTTGAAATCATAAATATAGTAACAGCTACAGTTAGATTAACCAAATCAAAATAGCATAAAATAAAATATAAATTGCAGAATCAGTAAGAAAATATTAAGTGCTGACACCTGTTTGAAAATCTTGAACAATGTAGTAAATAATAATAACGTAGTAAATAATAAATAAGACTTAAATAATAAATGAAATTTAAATAATAAATAAAACTTAAGTAATAAATAAAAATAAAACTCTTCAGGGGACAGTGTGTCCCCTGAAGAAATGCTGTCTTACAGACACACATATATTCTATTTTATTATTTTTTCCTGCTTTAATGTTTGTTTGAATATCTAAATTAAAATAAAGTAAATTTGGTTTTATCTGCTTTAGGAGCTTTTCCATTTTGATTTAATATTTTAATTGTTAATTTACTTCTTTGTCTCTTTTTTGCTTTTGTAAATTGTATTCATTTTCTGATTAGATTACACATACTGTTTATTCACTGGAAAATCTATGCCCAGTAAATGAACATGCCTGTTCCCTCACTGGTAAGAAGTTGTTTTTTGTATTTTTGACATACTTTTGATGCATGACATCACTAAAGGTACAAGAAAATTAAAGTTTTTCTTTTATTTTCATTAACTTGCAAAAAACCCAGTAAAGGAACACTTGTTCCTTTACTGGTTTTTCACCATTTGGTAATCCAATAAATAAACACCCCCTTATCTCAATACTTGCTTATGCTATGATGCTTAAAATAAATAAAACGTAACTTCAATAACTATATTTTGAATTCTATTTTTCACAATGAGAAAAAAAGTCTTATTATATACAATTAATTGCACTTTAAACGGATAACTACAAACACTGATCTTACAATTTTATCAAAGAAACAAGGTGTTGCTCAGATAATAACAAATTCAAACATTTTTCCGGAGAACACTATGTGGCCAGGTAATCTAATACATTGTTAGATGACTTCCTATTGTTTGGCAGTAAGCTATTGTTACCAATCAATCTAAAGAAAAACTTTCAAAATCTTATTTTTAATCAATATATATGAAATGTTCCTTCACTGGTTGGTTTACCATTTTCTTATTTGACTGTTTTGCTTAAATATGGTAAAATAGCAATAAAATAAATTGTTATTTACCCATCTTTTTCAAATCATTTCTAAAGATGTACATGATTTTCACACGTAATCGTAATGAGGTATTTTCAATTATTTGTTTCATTAAAGAAGTAAATAAAAGGTTAACATGTAAGTGTATTCTAATAACTTCGGTTTTCTAGACAGCAAAATTTTACTCCTGCGTGTGAGAGATTTTATCTTGAAAAGATTTATTTAAAAATCTGTTCAATAAAAATAATAATGTTCAATAATAATTTCTTATGAGACGATAAAGCTTATATTACCATAATATTCTTCTCCTTCAACAATATCTTGTGACAATACTGGATAATGATCAAGTAAGTACAATGCAATATCTGTATGAACATCCGTATTGCATATAACTAAAACATGAAGCAATGATTCTCCCAACAAGCCTCGTTCATCAAGCTTCCAGCATATTTTACCATCCAGCTGAAACATTATATTAAGCTATTTCAAATGAAAAGATTGAGAACAATTTTACAAAATACCATAAATTACAAAATTTCATGATTGTTACTTAAAGTAATTCAGTAATTTTAATCAAAAAATATTTATTTAAAAAAATTATTATTAAATTACTACTAAATTATTATGTAAATAATTGATAGTAAAATAATTATGTCTCATTGTGTTATTTCAAATCAATAACGAATCGAGCTTTCATACATACTTTAAACATGAATCTTACGCCAACAATGGATAAAATTTACATCAAGCTCAGATGCCTTTACTCCATTTATGAATTCTTTGTGGCAATTTTAGCGTAATTTGAACGTAATTTGGCGTAATTTATTTTTGGGAAAATTTTAAATATTCTTTTTTATTTAATTTTCAAAAATAAACTGTTGGTGGACTCTGTTTGGCTGTATTTTAACTTTTTAGCGGTTTCTAGCAATTTTCTAAGTAGATTTTTTTTAATATCTGTCGTTGAACAGCCGACCCAATGTTTGGGTTTACGACTACTAATGTTAAACTCCGTAGCCATGTAATTTTGAACCATTCTAGAAGACAAGGAAACTCCTGGAGCAGTATTCCCATAGGTATTGATTTGTTATGGGGACATGGAGGACTTTGAGACTCGACAGATTTAACGTGCACCAGTTACTATTTACTACACGGGGTGTCTTCCGCCGGCGGGGATCAAACCTACGAACTCTTGAACATGGTCCTAACAACCAGACTATCCCAGCCCTAAGTAGAGTTTGAACTTTTTTAAGGAAAGCTTTTAAGGATTCCTTATTTAGGAAGGATTTTCCACAAATGATTATTAAACAATTAGATTTATTAAAAATCACACCGGCATTATGAGAGATCATCTCTCATAAAAAATCATGTTTCTTTTTTTATACCAGCACATTTTGGTGTAAATACGATTATTGTAGGATATTTTTTATATACTATTAAATTTTGTCTTTCGATACAAAATGAATTTTGTGGGTAACCCCTTACCATTCAGAGCTTTTATTCAAAACATAAGAAAAGCTTAGAAAAATGGTTTAAATTTTTTAAATTTTCAAGATATTCAAATTGGATTTTTTTTAGTTACTAAATACGATTCGCAGCAAAATTATGTTTTCCTCGCATGCACAATATGAAAGAATTACTTTAAATGATCAGATATTGCATACTTTTTGACGAATTTTTTCACATTTTAAAATTATGATTTAGTTATAAAAATTTCGTCAAAAATTTTGTTTAATGTCATTGAATATTTTTAAAGTTATCGCAAAAAACGTAAGACAAAAAAATTTTTTTTTATAAAAATATTCGAATCTCAAGGTTAAGAAAAGGTTTAGCTAGGTTTACGAAATTTAATGAAATTATTGCATATAGTATTCAAAGTGATCGATGTAAGTTGCGTTTCCATTGCTTTATTTTCTGACATAGGGTGTTCGGAAACACTTTTTATCGTTCGTAATTTATTACCGGTCCCTCAAAGCTTTAAACTTTATTGATAAATGTGAAAAGTTGCATGACCTAAACATTTATAAGGTTATAAAATAATCCTTTAAGTATTTCTTGAAAAATTTAAAAAATTGACAAAAACTGAAATTTTTTCTTCAATCATTGTAAAGTAGTGCATGATAGACACAAGCATCAGTAAGTTATTTATTACGATACTATATATAGCAGAACCATTCATTTAGAATGCATACATACAATATTTCTTAAAATAAAATTAAACAGAACAGAGAGAATATTAATATGAATGCGAAAAAAATCGGATAGAAATTTAATATTATAAAATTATTCAATACTGATTTATGTAAATTATCTTATGAGAACATAATTATCTTTATTACTCATAATTATCCTTATTACACAACAAAAAACATACATGTCTTTTTAGAACAGTTTATTTACTTGTTTCGGTGAAATATTCAACATCTTGCGAGGCAAAGTTTAACTTTTAATTTCTCTGCTCGATTGTAAGCAAAAAATAAAGTACGCCAAATTACGCCAAAATTAGAAATCTAGAAATATTGTTACCTTGTCTTTTCCTTCCCCTTCGCAATACATGAATTTTTTGAGTTCATTAAGAACGATACTTTCTAATTCTTTAACACCTTCCAACAAATATCGTTCAATAAGTTGTCCTCCTTTTTTATAATTTGCCCATTTATATAATGGTTTGATTTCATCCACTTCATCTCTGCTGACTATTTCATCTAACAATGATGTGGCTAAACTAGAAGCTCCACGATCTGAAAACTTCAATAGATTCTCAATAGAGTACTTTCCCATCAAATCCTAAAACAACAATTTTATTATTTGTTTTGTATTGACTAGAAAGTATATATATATATACAACAAAATAAATAAATACAAGAAAACACGAGGAAAGTTAAGAGAAACAATAGGTTTCATTTATTGCGCACAAGCTGCAAGTAAACAGAACTCATTAGATAAGTTCAAAACGAAGATAAAACAAAGGAAAATTATAGACGCATTAAAAAGGGGGGGGGAAATAATAATGAAAAAAATGGCAAACAACTGATTAAAAAAAAAGGATGAAATTTTTTAAAAAAAATCAGAAAATAAGAGATATAATCTTTTCATCAGCCCACACGATTATATCCGCAAAAAAGAGTGTTTTCTGATATTGTATCAATATAGCCAAAGCAAAATATATTAATACAATAGTGTGAAGAGCACTCAAAAAAAAATTTTTTTACAAAAATTACAGCAAATAAAATAGAACACAATAAGTAAAAATAACACGTAAAAACAGAAAATAAAATAGAATAAAAAGAAAAAATACCATAAAACTAAATAAAAACTATAAAGCGAGTAGCGAAATCAGATGTACTTACAGGAACGGGAAATTTTTCAAGAATGATTTAAAAATATTTTCGCAACAAGATTGCCAGATTACAAAATATGAAAACAAAAACGTAAATTGAGTGTAGCTAGAGGAATTTAAAGTGTCGTTCTTACTGCATTGCTGAAGGGATTTGTTATGCTGTGCATTGATTTGTTAGTTATACCAAGGATGGGCCCGAAATGGATGTGCGCAAGGTAATATTATACCGGATAATTTGAAAAGTTGACCATAAATAATTTTAGAAAATAAATAAATTGTTTCTCTTTTCGATTTTTTCTTAAATAAATATTTATTTTCTAAAAGTATTTATTTTTTGTAAAAAAATTTTTTGAGTGCTCCTCACACTATTGTATTAATTTGCTTTAGCTATACTGATACAATATCGGAAAGCACTCTTTTTTGCGGATATAATCGTGTAGGCTGATGAAAAGATTATATCTTTTATTTGCTATGAACTGCCTGCAAGCTTGTCAAACTCTTCCTTGGCCTGCCAGANTATAAACAGTTGTTTGTTATTTTTTTACTTATTATTCCCCCCCTTTTTTTTCATATGTCTATAATTTTCCTTTGCTATGTCTTCATTTTGAACTTGCATATATATATATATATATACAGAGAGAGAGAGGCTAGGTGAGTGAGGCAGACGGGCACAGGAGTTAAAAAGAGCAAACTAAACTTTACTTAACCACTAGAATCAGAAAACGAAGTGACACAAAATTGAAGTGCTCCCGAATAAAAATTCGGGAAAATCTTGCAAAATAGTCCCGTAATATGTTACGTCTTAACTATCCATAACTTGAAACCAAGATTGAATTAAAAAACAGAATGTGAATAATAAAGTGTGAGAAAGNCTCTGCAATAAATTATTCAATTGTTCTGAAATTTTAATCATTTACTATTCTGTACATTGTCTTCCTATTCACCAATTTTCGTTTCAATCGGACAACTCCTTCTTGGTGCGTCGATTTTTTTGTTATAGTGTGTGTGTGTGTGTGCGTGTGCGTGTGCGCGTGCGTGTGTGTGTGTGCGCGTACAGAGAGAGGGAAGAAAGGCGAAATGAAGAGCTCATTCAAAGTGAAATCAACCGAATAAAAAAAAAAGATATCTCGTTGACGTCATGTTACAGATTTTAATGAAAATTTTGTTGTAGAAAAGTTTTGATGAAAAAACTACCTATTTTTTTAGAACAACCTAGTTTTGTATAATAACTTCGACTAGAGGGGCCAATTTGAAATTTTACTCTATTTAAGAAAATTTAGTAGTTGCAGATCTCTGATGATAAAAATGTTTATTTCTTACTTGTTTGTGAGCCTTCATTTTGAGGTCATTAGGAAAAAAGCCAGCACTATTTAATTAAGTTATTAAAATATTGAAAATGTGTGTATAATTTTTTTTTAACAAAAGTTTTATTCGAGTAATTTTTTGGGAATTTTATTTTCAAGAATTTTAAGTTTCAAGAACTTTTTACTGGAAAGAAACAACTTTCAATACGTCAATTTTTTCTCATAATGTTAAATATCATACTTTTCGACGTAAGAAAGGGCAAAAGGATGTTTTTTGCTTTATATCTTAACAATAAAAAGTTTTCAGTCGAAATAATTCAAGATTTTCTAATGGCACAAAAACAAAGTTTTTTGGCCAAATTTTTTTTTAATAATATTCAACGCCATATTTTTCAATATAAAAAAATCAAGAAGGTATGTTTTGTTTTGGTCAGTAAAAAAGCAAAAAAAGGGATTTTTGCCAAATTAATTCAACCCGAATCTTTATAGTTTAAAGCTTTTATGTCTAATAGTTTTAGCACAACAAATCAAAATGTAACGTAAAGCAAAAATAGTGCAAAAAAATTCTCGAAAAAGAAATTAAAATTGTAATAACTTTCGATATGGATTAAGGAAGATTGGGATTTCAAGCTTCTGTTAAAATCATAAACAAACATGGCCTTTTATCACAAGCCTTTTGTAGTTACGCTATTTTCGAAAATTGAGTCAAAATTTCAAACTGGCCCCCTAATCATAGATTTGGTCAAAAAATTCTATAAAAAATTTTTCTAGTCGTTTTTTATCAAGATCTTTTCTCCAAAGGAATTTCCCGAAAATCTGTGCCCTGACCACAATATTCCTGTCGAATGCGATCGAAAAAATGCGAACTAATTCCTAGAAATGATTTCGTTTCACTTTAGGCATCCCAAACAAAAATAGTTTGCGACAGCTTCTGAAGCGAGAAAGCCAAAAAAACTGATCAATTTTTGACACTTTTTTAGTTTTTGGCTCATAACTGCTTAATACATTATACGCAAAATTTTAAAATTCAACAAAGTTTAAGATCAATTAATTCCGCATCTAATGTTCCACTTAAATGAATCAAAATTAAATCCAAGTGTTATAGATTTCAAAATATATGCCATTACAGAAACATATAGAATAAATAATGCCCTAATGTGGTTTAATGAAACGCATTATTGAATCTTCAAAAAACTGATCAATTTTTGACACTTTTTTAGTTTTTGGCTCATAACTGCTTAATACATTATACGCAAAATTTTAAAATTCAACAAAGTTTAAGATCAATTAATTCCGCATCTAATGTTCCGCTTAAATGAATCATAATTAAATCCAAGTGTTAAAGATTTCAAAATATATGCCATTACAGAAACATATAGAATAAATAATGCCCTAATGTGGTTTAATGAAACGAATTATTGAATCTTCATCTGTTTTTGATAAGAATTTTAATTCAGTAAAAAATGCATAAGAATGAATTATGAATACTTGATATTACTTATTCACATCATGCTTTATAAATGCACTATCATCACTTCACTTTTATCACACATATCACTTTTTAAACATGTTACTTCTATTTTTAAAGAATACTTAAGATTTTTATTTATTTATTTTTTGAAAGTTGAGTTGAGTGAAGATTTTTATTGAAATGAAGTTATTAGTGAAATGAAGTTAGTGTACTGGTGCTAAACTAGTTATGAGCCCTGTGGCCGAATTTTTTCGAGTTATCTGCGACAAAACTCTCTAGCACTAATATCTTTCTGCAAGATGCTTTTAATTAGAAACATATATGTTACTTATTTAAAATAACAAAACCGCTGTGTTTATAACAAAAAAAATTTAAAAAATGTTTTAATTGAAAGTGTAATAATTCTTTATTCTAATATTATGGGTGAAATTCTTCCATTTCTTTTTCCTCTCATTTTGTAAATAATCATCACGATAGAAAAAAATAATGAATCATGAAATCCGAAGAAAATTGCCGAAAAAAAGATCGACGATGAAATCGCGTGAATCTGACTCCACAAATGCGAGTTTCGTTTCATGAAGGTTGGTGTAATAAATAATATCGTATAAAAAATATCGGATTTAAAAACTATGGAGAAATCAGTAGCAATAACTGACAAAAATTCGAGAGAATTATTGCCTTAAAAAGTAAATACTCAAATGCACGATTTGAATTTTCCATATTGTTTGACGCATGTCGGGATATTTAAAAGTCATCTGAAAATCAATATCAATAACAGCCAAAAAATACAATCGAAACATTACATTGATTTACGATACTATCGGCTTAAATTGAGAGCGTCAAAAAGTTATTATCTAAATGCATGATTCAAATATTACGTGTAAATTTCTGCAGAAAATAAAATAATTTTTTTTTTTCACTTTTAAAATGAAAAATCATTCTACAAGAACTCTGGAACGTTCTGCGACAATGTCGCCGTGTCGCTGCGGGAATGAGCTAAAGTTTTTCCCGAATTAGAATTACTTTTATTTATTATTTTTTTATTACTTTATTATATTATTACGTATTTTAATATATCTCATGATTTTATACGAAACTAAGTAACATTTGGCTTAATAGTTTCCTATGTATTCCACATATTTATTCACATATTATTCCACATATTTATTCACATATTATTCCACATATTTAGTTTCAGATTTTAAGAATGTAAAATTTTTATTTTTTTATTTATTCCAATTAATTTAAAATAATTTTATGCATCATAGTAAAAGACTTTTTTTGAATAAATCGAGCTCTAAGATAAACTTTCAATTCATTCTTAAACTAATATACTGATTTTACTGATCACGTCAAATTACAATCAACATTATAAAACAGAAAAATACAATAAACATCAAAGAGCACAAAAATACTATCAACATTGGCACACAGATTGTAATACCATATACGTAACTCGTTAATCCAATATCAATTTTTATACTGTCGGCGAGCTTTTTATTATACTGCTCGAAATGATTTTTTAAAAAATGGACAAATGCTTGTCCACGAAAATGGACACAGCTCAAAAAGCATGTTCAAGATAAAGACTCGGCTCGAAATGCAAGTTTAAGAATATGGATATAGCTATTTAGCTGTGTTCATTTTTTAAACACGCATTTCGCGCTGTCTC